AAATAGATGCAAAGTGAAAATGCTGAGTCAATGTGACTAAGAACACGTGACGCTACTTTGATATTAGATGCAGACACAAAGTACTAAACACTTAATCCAACAAAAAAAACCAGAAGAGTGTCCTCTGTATTTTTCCCCTCCCACTGACACCAACTTACAGAAACAGCCCAAGCCGACCTCCCGGCTCATCCGCAGCGTGTGGGGGGGGTTATTAAATGCTCTTAAATGGCCTAACTCATTCAGAGATGTCTGCAACAGGCCTGCTCCAGTCAACAGTGACTGCTAACTGTGAGAAGAATGAACAAAATAACACTTGTGTTCCGTAATGACTGGCAGCACAGTCTCCTTAAATCCAGAGCCGCTGAAGCCGTTCCACTTGCAAATTCAATTATGAGAATGATTCATCCTTCCATTATGATAACTGTCAGATTTTCTCGTGCCATACAATAAAACAGAAAGGGGGGAAAAACAAAATGGTTGGGCAGCATACCCACCAAAACACTTCTCCTCTCCTCCACCCCCCCTCCTCCATCACTGCCCCACCCCAAGCTGCTTTTCTCCATCTTACTTCTTTTTGTCTTTCCCTGCATCCCTCCCTTTTTCCACTGCTCCCCTGCTATCGCTCATCCTGCTTCCTCTGCCTTAGTCTCCGTTCATCCTCTTCATCTGCCTCAGGGTGCAAGGCAAGATAGCATTCCCTTGTTTTCTGATTTTCTCCGTATTCCCTCCAACTCCCCCCCTCCCCATCCTTTGCATCCTTGCCTACCATACAACTCACCCATCGCCTCTTCCTCTTCCTCTCTCTAGATAATTAAGATCTCTGATTTTACGGTTTTCTTTTTCATAATAGGCTCTGCAGACACTATGAGCAAGCCGCCAAGTCCCTTGTACGTACACACACACAAACAGAACAGCAATCACACACAAATATGCATATGTTTTCATACCCACATGATGATAAATGCATGCACCAAACAGCTAAATCTCCAACTGGGATGAATGTCCCCTCTCTAACACTGCATTTTTATATTTTCTCCTGCACACGCACACACACACACACACACACACACAGCGAGTCAGGATATTTATATATTTTAGCTTTTGTGTAGTATTTCCAGTGGTGCCAGCATGTGGGGTGACTTACAGCAGGGTGCAGAATGAAAGCTATTGAGGGGAACTAGAAGCAGTGTTTTCTGTACGTCTCAGACTTGTCTGGCTCTGCTTGGTCCTCTTGCTGCTCCAGCTCCCTACAGACTGACACCCAACTGCTACAGGGACTCAGCCATGTACTATACTGCAGCAACAGAGCACGTACAACAGCCAGAACAACAAAGCCCGCGCAAGTTATACAAGGCAATAGTATCTCAACATTTGTATTGTATCGGTTTCCCTGAATTCACTCCACCGAACTTTGCATCTACTTGTTCTCTTGCAATCACTGGCAGCGATGAAGAAATTAAAAATGGGTATTCTCGTGACGATAATCAAACTTTCCTGAAAATCTTTGAGCTCTTTACACAGTGTTTACATGGATTTTATTCACTCAACAGTGAACTGCATGTTGCAGCTTTGGTGGCAAATTAACTAACATCAAATGTACTTTAAACAATATGAACAAAGCCAGTCTAAAGATAGGTATTTAAATGTAGCAATTAAATTAATGCTCCCTGCTGTTTGCTAACAGTGTAATAAGTTGAAACAATTTTAAAAAGCGGAGTGTTTGTGGAAATGTTTCCCCATTTACTAGCTGCACATTGTAAAGCAGTTTATAGCCAGAAACAGTCTTATCAGTGAACCTGGTTCTCTGGCCCTGCTGTGGTCCCTCTGCTTCTGATTGACAAGGAAAAGACTCCCTTGTGGCTAAACAAACATAAAACTGCTAATAAAGACAGGCGCACAGAGTGCCCTCTGAAAATGGCAATAATTGCGGTAATGACAGGAACAGAATTTGTTGGCACTATTGCTATCATCCGACTGTTTCATCTCGGTATATTGTCAGACTAATGTGATGTCACATCTCAGTAAATCATTAAAAGTAACATCAGACAGTACTCATGTAAAAATGACCCCTTTGAGACACAGAACATTAAACCATTAAGAGTCACAATCTATTCACAAAAGCACAAAGTCAAACAACCAACGATCAAGTCACATTTAGAATCATTGAAAACAACGGCAAAAGTCACAAAAATGTCAGATCGTAAAGCTTTATCATCTCACACTGCCGTGAGAGAATGCAAATTCTGTGCAGTTTGCAGTTCTTTCCTTTCAAAGCTGGATGCAAGAGCATATTTTAATCATATTTATTGTAGATATGCTATATTTGGAGTTAAGTTCTTCTTGGATTGTGTATTTCGTTGCAATATTTGCCAGAGAGAAGTGGCACATTTGAAGCTCTAGCCGTAGACGTTTGTAGAAAATGTAGTGGAATAAAAAATATGATATTTCCCTTTGAAATGTATGGAAAGTGTAAAGCTAAATTAATTCTAAAATACTCAGCTAAGATGCAAGTACTTCACATTTACACCAGAGCACAGTCCTTGAGCAAATATACTTTTTCACCGCTGCTCCTCCGTCTTTCCATCTCTATCCTGTTCTGCGTCTCTTTCTGCAGAGACAATCTCTTCTCTCTGTATTCAATTTTGTTCTTTTATTCCCTCATCATTTCGAGCCCATCCCCTCTCCTTCTCCCCCCTCCCCCCTCATTCTCCTTACTTCTATCAGAGCTTTCCATCTCCTTCCTCCCTCCCCCCCCTTTTCCTCTCAGCGGAGTATAGATACTATAATCTTCTCCGTCTAATGCTGTCAATACCTCTCAATAACATTGAAATAGCACCGGTTTCATCCCATCATTGATGAAGGCATGGCCTCAGTTAGGATCTTATTCGTCATCATGGCAATCTGATTCTTGGTAATAGCCAATCAGATGGCTCCTGTGAAATGCAGCACTCCCATGATAGGTTCCCCATTGTTTTGATTGACTGCACCTGAGGGCCCGCCACTTGTGCTGGGCTCGATCAATACCCCATCACACTCACAAGGTAAGCGCATGCTCATACATACTCTGGAATAAACACACACACACGCACACGCACACACACATACACACACACACACACACACACTTTGGGGAAGAGTAAATTGAGAAAGAGACTGTTGGTGTGGGAAGCAAACAGAATACAGTAGTAGGATAACAGCCAGCAAATGGAGTACTGCGAGGCACAATGTACAGCTGTGTAACAGCAGTGTCCCGTTGTGTTTTCACGGTGCGGTCAGAATAATCAGCTGTTGCATAACCATCGCGCTCATGCACCCAAATTTGACAGCAGCATGGAACTTTGAACTTGGCGCAGTAATTATTTATTGGAAGATTTACTGTAACATACCGTGTGAAACAAGAATGATTTATTGTAAACAATGAGATGGAAAATTACTCCCACTGTGTGCCTGTTGTTCTATGTTGTGTTGCACATACAGATGGCCTCGCATAAGCCCCGTCTCTGTTCACTTTGAGCTGCAGTAACCGTAATGAGAGCAACACAGCCATCTGAACAGTACGGAGCATGCTATTAGTATTACAAACATGTTGACACAAACGTTTGTCCATCCTGCGAATGAGAGACGCTGAAACTCAGATAGGAAGAAAGCGAAGGTCAGTAACAGCACAGAGGACAAAGGGGGGAGAAAAAAAAGGGAAAAAAAGGCAAGTGCGGTTGCTTTATAGATGTGAAGCGATTCAAAGCGTGCTGTTGCAGAGTTTTTGATGTTCTTTAAAGCCATCGGAAAGAACTGGAGAGAAAAAAATTAATTTAAGATCTTAAAGTGAAAATAGAAAAATAAGGATGGAAGGTGATGGGATGTAAGTTCGACAAAATGACTGACAAACCATTTGATCCGTGTTTTTAATATACACACAAGCGCAGGCACGAACACATGATACCAGCTTAGTTCCACCCCCACATGCACTTGTCAGGGTCTTAGGTCGGCCTCCTACTACTATCAAAACCAGCAACCCCATGTTTATAGCTGTTAGGGTTAATTGAAGGTTCGGAGCCGACTGTTTCAGCTGTCCGTCAGCTCGTCTAAAGCTCAATCTGGTAAAGCAGACACTTGAAACATTCCCAGGTCAACAGCGTCTACCACCATTGCCCCATCACCAACACCCAGCCCTCCCTCAACCTTCCTGCCTGTCTGTCACCCAACACTCCTTCTCCTCTCCTCTGTCTTCATCCCTCCCTTCATCTCTCCATCCTTTCACACTGCCTTGTCATGTTGTCAGTCAGAGCAAGGATTTGTCACTCCTGGAGAGGGTTGCTTAGCACCGCTGGAGCTCAGCTGAGCTCTCTTTGTGTTCTTTTTTTTGTGTGTTTGTGTGTCTGCTTGAAGGTGGGGGTTGAGGTTAGGTTAAAGAAAAGATGTAAATGGGAACAGACGTGGAGGGTGTAGAGTATATTATTGTGTATGTTTGAGGCCGTTATCTTGGTGCTTATGCTTTTGTGTTTCTAGTACGTGACCATGTGTCTGTGTGTTTGCATTTGCTTCGACGTGTGAACATTTGTGTATGTGTGCGTAATGTAGGTGTGTGTGAGTGCTGAATTTGTGTGATGTTTACTTTGAACTGCCTTTGGAGATCTCTTCAAGGCAGAACTGTCACTTCTAAACGGCAGATGTTCCAGAGGAGACGGTAATAGAGTTGTGTGTACTGTATTTTATTATTAGACAGGCTGTATGTATAGCACTTGGCCGCCTCTATAATATGACGGTGAACGTCTTTATAGCCGAGCATGAAAGTGTGTTGTATGTGCTGTCAAACTATAGGGGCTTCCACTTCATGGAAATGCAACAGTGGAAACTGAAGATGCGCCCCATGATGGCAATTCAGGAAGACGTCTTGTACCGGGAGACTGTGTGTGTGTCCAGTAATATGCAGTGTGTCCTCCACTCCTGCAGGTGGTGGTACAGGAAGCCAGCAGACCATTCTCCATGAGGAGCAGTAGAAGATGCCGGCTCTGCCAGCACTGCTGCTGTCAATACACTTCCTCTCCTTCCTGCTAGTTACCATGCCGCCACGGTCCCTCAGTCAGGCTCCTTTGCTCTCCTCCGTCCGCATGGGTGAGTGGTCCGCCATCCTGCCTTTTTCCACCTTACCTGAGTCAAAAAGTTGCTTGTCATACCTGTTATTTTTTTGTTTTGATTCCTCAAAGTGGTGCTCAACACGTTAAATAATACAAGAGGAGATAGATTCACGGCAAAGCGTCCTAAAAGCCAAATTAGCACTAATAATGCAGTTAAATGTTAAAGGCGTCCATTCTTCTCAGCTGATGGACTCGGAGTGACTGGCAGTTACAAACTAAACAGGAGTACTTCAGTCTTTTTTAATCTACCCTTTAGTCTTCTCATATTTGATTTAGAGTTGGCCATGTTCATAGATGTTTCACAAAATAATGAAAACTACACACATTCTGAAATAAATCACACAAATCTGTCACAGCTTCGTGTTTATTTCATAGACGTGATGCCAGTGTTCTCATGTAGCTCTCAGCAAGAAAACAAATTAGCAGATTTCTCAAAATGTAGAACACTTACTTTAATTACTGAGTTCCTATTACATTTTCAAACGAGGACAAAATCCCTCAGTAAGCTGGTGTTTGCAATACCTCTGTCAGCTCAGCTTGTCCTCCTCATAAGCATTTCCACATGTGCATGGACATGGATCACATTGCTAACCAGTCTTCCCCTCTACTCCTTGTCATGTTTTTTTTTTACTTTCTCCTCATCTGTTCTTCCACTCTCGCCATCCTTCATCTTCATTCATTGTCCATCTCTCCCCTTTCCTCCTTGCCTCTCTAGCGGCAATCCTGGATGACCAGTCTGTGTGTGGGCGTGGGGAGCGGCTGGCGCTGGCCCTGGCCAGGGAGAACATCAACAGCGTGATGGAGGGTCCGGCCCGAGCGCGAGTGGAGGTGGACATATACGAGCTGCAAAAAGACTCCCAGTACGACACTACTGACACCAGTGAGTGGAGCCGATATGCTCCAAAGACAACCGGTGGAGCAGATTTGCACAACCCATCAGAACATGTCCTGCACAAACAATTCCAGCAGGGCAGAGTGTCTCATTAGCTTTTAAAAAAAAGTGACCATTCAAGAGAAATAGATTGATATTAATAGTGACCAACATAGAAGAGAAAAGAACCACAGTGTATACATATAGTGCTTTATTTCAAAACACTTTAGAAGAGTGCTTATATATTTGTTATTCAAAAGATAATGACATTTTCTAAAAAGCTGCATTGTCATAAGCAAAAACCTGAATTGATGGCTACGATGATAAAACACTACCAGTTTCATCCAATTAGGTGCCAGTAAGGGCTTTTCCTGATTAGTTTACATGTCATTGGAGACCAGTAATGGGCCACTAAGACTGTCTCATTAAAAACAGTGAACCTGTGCCCTCCAGTAACAGCTGGCACTGTTTACTGTGTGGGCCACGATAAAAACAAATCATCAAATACTAATACACATCGACAGTACAGGCCAACAGAAAGCAGCGCCACACCGCAGAGACTACTCCATGAAATTTGTATTGATATACGGAGTTAAAACAGAATATTTGGAGTCTGAAAAGACAGAAGAAGTACTGCTAGATCCAGCCACTGAGGAGACAGAGACTCCCTGCTCCTACTCTAATAGGTCACTGACCCTGCCACAAGCTACTGGCAAAATGTCTATGTGTGCCTGAGAAGGGTTGTGTACATATGTGCATGCTTGAGTTGCAGGCATGTGTGTATGTGTCTGTGTGCGTCCTTGACCGATGGGCAGGAGACTCTGACAGGCTTGTTTGCTCACAGCGTTTTTTGGTCTCTGGATCAGAGAGCTCATCATCTTACAGCTACAGTTGACTGAGGCACGCTTGCACACACACAAATGCACACAGGCACCCACTCAGGCATTCACACATGCATGCACACACATCCCTTTCTGCAGACGCAAATGCACAATATAGCATATACACACATCCACACACAGCGGCAGATACCGTAGAGGACTAATTTAGATGAATTTAAATGCCGACCGAATATACCAGAAACCGAAGAGCTTCTTTACTATCAAGATAACACCATCAGGTCACCAGACTGATTTATGCTGCGTCTGTCAAATCATTTTTCAGGTGGGTAGACAGAAAACATGTCAATAAAAATGAATTCAGCATACATTACGAGGCTACAAAAATATCCCAGTGAAGCATTTCTTTACAAGATGTAATTTAGCTACTGTGCGCCAGTGTTGTGTCGGCTGGGACACTGGTCAATAGCAGAGGCTTGATTTTAAAGGAACAGTTTAACTTTTTGGGAAATATGCCCATCTGCTGGCTTTCTTGCTCTCATATCTGTATACCAAAACCAAAAATACAGCCTGCAGCTGAATAGTTTATCTTAGCAAGCCTTGAGAACTTAAAGATTTAAACCCAGGAAAGGAATAACCTGGCTTTATCCTAAGAAAGACACCTTAAACCTTATTAAACACTAAATCATGTCTGCTTTATTCAATCCTTGAAAAGCTGAACTGTATACAGACAGTTTGTTTTGCAGGGGTTTATATGCAGGATTGTTTCTTTTGGCAACTTCTCAGAGCGAAGCAAATAGTCCCATGCATAATCCCTTGCAAAACGGCAACTTGTTGTTTCTACTCTTGAGCTTTGATGTAATGTGTTAAGGGATGAGCTTTGGAGAAGTTGGTTCAGTAATTCTCTTACCTTTGGGCCGACAAAGGCTTTATTCCCCCGTCTTCCCACTCTTTATATACAAGCTGTAGCTTAATATTTATTGTGCAGACGAAGTGTTGGACTCTCTTTTCATCTCAGCATATTCACCAGAATATTGAATAATTCCCTTAAATGGTTTCTAGATTCTTTAAATCTTCTCTGTCAAGTGGAGTCTGTTATTGATCAGCTGCTTCAGACCATTCTATAAGCAAAGTAAAGGACAGACAAAAAAAAATCTGTGAGACATATATCTATATTTGTGTGTGGACATGTTTCACAAAAAACATACCCGTGAACGTCTTCATTTAGGCCGAGTCATGTTTACTTAAGCCATTCCTGAGAAGACAATATATTGCGGTAATAGTCATATAACTTCATGAAAAAATAATGCAATGTGTTACAAATGTGCAAAACTCTTTTCTTCATTAAAGTCCTCCAAAATGGGTAATCATGCAAAATGACATTTGTTGATTTAAGGTGTCCACCAGTGTGCTGTTATTGTTCTAGTTCCACAGATATAATTGGAGTAATACATCTTAAAAGTCATTAAAAACTACTGTCCTCACACATGAATAATAGCAGCAGGCAGCTGGAGGGCTGCTCTGTTGTAGTCCTTGGAGTGTCTCTCTCAAAATAAATCAGATGATATTGAGACAGAATGTGGCGTCACAACAGACTAAGTGGTTAAACCGAAAACATACAGCATGCACTTTTTGCTGCTCTTTTTTTTTTTTTCCCCTGACTGCAGCCCCTACTGTATGCCAACTCAGTGCTGCTATCAAAACAAAGCAGTGGAAAGGTGTGTGTCTGCATATTCAGTGTTTATCTTCCTGTTTTTCTTTCAGTGTGTCAGATTTTACCCAAAGGCGTCGTCTCTGTGATAGGTCCCGCCTCCAGCCCCGCCTCTGGCTCTACTGTCAGTCATATATGTGGGGAGAAGGAGGTGAGTGTTGAAGATGCACACACAGTACAAATATATACCTCGCATATCTGGCTTCTTCTCTTACATAGTACCCCTCCTACTCACATAGACGTCATTATAACTGCATCTAGAGATTAGCTTTATTTCTCCTCATATAATTAACCATCATCCACGGCTTTCTTTCTTCTTACCTTTGATTCTTATGTGTCTCTGTTTTCTGCCCCCTCCACCTTCCTTATTTTTTTTTTCTCTCACTCTAGTGGATGTTTCTTTCTTACATCTTTGTTTTGTTGTTTGTGTGGCATGGGGATGAGGCTTTTTCTTTCCTTGATAACTGCTCTCCCCTCTCTCCATTCTCTTTCTTGCAGATCCCTCATGTTAAAATCGGTCCAGAGGAAACTCCACGCTTGCCGTACCTGCGCTTCGCCTCTGTTACGCTGTACCCTAGCAACGAGGACCTGAGCCTGGCCATAGGAGCCATCTTACGCTCGTTCAGCTACCCCTCAGCAAGCCTGGTCTGTGCCAAGGCTGAGTGTGAGTACACATGCTGCCTGTCGTATAGTCAAACAGTATATCATGTGAGCCTGCATGGCTGTATTTGTGTTTAAGTGGGTGTAAATGCATCGGTTTGTGTTCTTGCGAGCTTGTTTACCTAGAGCATGTGTGCATTTGTGTATGTGTGCAAATGCCTCCGTGGGAGTGTTGGCTCATTCACACTGTTTGGGCGGATCTAACTGTTTGGCGCTGTTGGACACTCATTTTGACAGTCTGGTCATAAAGTTCTGTCTGTTGTCAGAGTTCAAAACATGGCTCATGCTGCAGCCTTCCTATTTATTACTCATGTTCTTGCGCACTGTCTCTTATCCACCTCAGAGGGTTGTTAGGCCAAACCAATTTAATAAATATTCATGTCTGAAATGCTTTCCAGTATTGGAAGAACTGAGGGGGACATTTGATTTAACTTGCCAGGCACTCAGAGAGCTTTACCATCACAGGGGATTCGGGGCTTAGTCACTAGCCCTCTTTATTTTCATTTTGAAAGAGTCCGTTATTGATTTATTATGCACTCCCCTATCGAGAGTTGCAGGAATTAAAACCCTCGGTTGGATCGTGGCTGTAGTGTTCAAAGACAACGCTTGTGAATGCGTGACAGAACATGGTCTCTATTGTAAGAGGTGACAAAAATCCTGATTTTCCCACCGAATAATCGTCTGACTTTTCGTCCACTTTTTGTGAAGCTGAGCTGGGATGTCTTGCTGTACGGCTGTTGACTGCTCGCACCAGTTAAGTCGAACTGTCTGAGAACCAAAGGGCGCTCGCATAAAGAATGAGTAGGACCACTGAAGTCTGAGCACTTTTCATGGCTTTGTGAAAAGGGTAGATTTTGACAAACAAAAAGCTGTGACATTATGAATATTGGATTCAATCACTGAGATGCTTTCATTAGCTCCCCAGCAGTTAGCCAGCCTTCCTGCAGTTTCCTGAAAGTAAGCTGAATTCCTTGTGGACTTGTCATTTCATTGAACTGAAAGAGCTTTGAAATGGCATCAGACGTCTTTTTTCAGTTTTGATCATCAGTTGAACGGCTAGATAAGAGCCTTGTCTTCCCCTCATAAGAATTAGATGCAACAGATAGCCCGATAGCCACCGTCTGGGCCAAAACATGCTGCTTTCACTGGTGGTGCGACTGAGGGGTGCGTTTGTGTGTGTAATATATTTGGCTTGAAGGTGATCTTTACAAGGTTATCACACTCACAGACTCTGACCCACTTGGCTGCGCTATCTATCGCCGTGGAGCTGGTTGCCATGGCTGCCGAATAGGTGCTAACTGCCACTCAACAGGCTTGTTCCACACTCTGAACAACTGTGTGGGTGTGCGTGGCACCGCATGTGTGTGTTTGATGTGTTTCTTTTTTTTTTTTTGGTTTACTTTGCACGTGCGTGTGTGTCTGAGTGCAGGAGTGTGTGTGTGTGTGTGTGTGTGTTCTATACCCTGAATGCACTCTCTAAAGTCTGCACATTAGAGAGTGGGTTTCGGGGTGCTTATAGGCGTACGTCCATGTGTGTGTGTGTGTATGGCTCTTTTGTGGCGATGAAGGTTCAACATCAGACAATGTTTACCACCAGCCCACTTGTTTTATTCATCTTGTTTACCCCAGTGTAGAGCAAGCGCGTTCAAGTGAAGTAGACGTTCTGTCTTTTTGTGCAGTGAGTAATGTGTGAAGTCACACATTTCATTGGCACCCGCAATACATGCATTTTGATTAAGCAACGTGTTTAAGAAGTAGTCATTTTAGCAACAACATGTTAACAGCATTAAGGTATGTTTCCTTCTTTAACTAATATATTCTGCAAATGAGCAAAAGCCAGAGATTTTTATTTTTTTTCCTCCAGTGTATCCTTCTCGTGCTATGCCTGGGTCAGATCTCGCTATCTGAGCCTAATTCCATTATGCAGTTTTCATGAGATGGATGAGGTTAAGGACAGCGAGAGGGAAAGACTGAGCACGAGGAGGAGGAGACGGTGGGAGCATAAGCCCGAGATGGATAAAGACAGAGAGAGGTAACTAGAACGCAGGGCTAAGACAAGAGAGATAGAGAGGTTAGAGCTTATGTGGGAGAGAGAGAAAATGTGAAAGAGGAAGAGTGAGCGTGGGGAGGAGAGGAAGCTGTAAAGTGCATTGATTTTTTTTTTTCTCCCCTCCTTCCTCAAACTAATTAAAGTTTTGGCCTGGTTCAGTGATTACCCCACTGCTTACAGAGGCTTTCTCTAGCTGAAGGGCTCTGTGTGCTACCTCTCCCTTCCTCTCTCCCTTTCCCCTCCGTCCTCCAGATGCCTGCCCCACCACTTATTTACATAGCTAGGGGTGCTTTACTATGGAATTACAATTAGGAAGCAGCAGAGTAGACTTTCTAGTAAAGGCTTATTCCGCACATGATGTCAAGTGAGTCTTGACTGCCATTGGTTATACTCATTTTCAAGAGGAATTCGTTTGAAGTGGGCGAATTGTCTCAAGTATCGTATTTCAGTCTGTCTGATCCTCCTTCTGCTCATATTTTTGCCGGAGGTGCGCAGAATCGTTGCGTCTCCAATTTTGTTGTTTGACTTGAAGGTTTTCAGGTTGTTGAGGACAAACTATTTTACTTAAAGTGCATATATTACATTACTCAAAGAAATGTAAAGCAATAACTGAAGGATGAGACAACAGAGACCAAGTGAATTACAAAGCACTAAAAGAGCTCAAGCCTCTGCCAAGGCTTTCTAAATATATTGTTCTATCAATAGAAAATGTTTAGAAATTGGTTAATAGTAGGTGTGATTTTGGAGAATGTCTAAAACCAGCTGATTCATCGGAGAAAGTGTCACTGAGCAAGACACTGAACCCCAAGTTACTCCTGACGGTAGTAGAGGCACCTTGAATCGCAGCTCTGCCACCGCTGGTGTGTGAATGTGTGTGTTACTGAGACACACAATGTAAAGTGCTTTGTAGAACCAAGCTCAGGTTAAAAAGGTGCTATTTAAGTGTGGAACATTTACAATTTATGGGTCATTCCAAGCATTTTACAGCATAAAATAAGGACATTTATAATGATATCTGTGGAATTCATCAAATACTTTCTGACACAATAGTAATAATCCAATTAGAACAGAGGTCTGGAGTTTCAAACGTTTTGTATTTTTTTAAATGGTCATATTTGTATTTTATGACCCCACTTTGTAGGCTTGGAGGAGTCTTGTCATGTCGTTTTTGTATCATTTCTTTGGAAAATATCGCTGCATTAGTTCATTAGAATGACATCAGCATACTGTAACCATGACCAACACAAATACACACATAAATAGTTCTTTTGGGATAGTAGGATTTTTGAGGGGAGAGTCTTCATGCCTTCACATACAGTATGTCACAAAAGTGAGGATTCCAGTGGCGACCTGTGAAGCTCTGGTGAACTCCATGCTCCAGAGGGTTAAAGGCAGTGCTGGAAAATAATGGTGGCCACAGAAAATATTGACACTTTGGGCCCAATTTGGACATTTTCACTTAGGGGTGTACTCACTATTGTTGCCAGTGATTTAGACATTAATGGCTGCGTATTGAGTTCTTTTGAGGGGACAGTAAATTGTAACTGTTACACAAGCTGTACACTGACTACTTTACTTCAGTGTTGTCCCATGAAAAGATATAGGAAAATATTTGTAGAAATGTGACATTGTGGAAGTCGATAAAAAGGGAGACGAGAGTTGAGCTTGAGTCTCTGTTCCTTTATTGGACTCCACTAACAGCAAAAACTCACTCACAGTGCAAAGCCTTTTATAGCACATCCGCTTTCCCACAACCCGGAAAACCTTACCCCTGTCCCCTTCAAAATAATAGCGTCCTTTGTGTGTGAGACCTACAGAATTCGTGTACACCACAACATAATATATATTTAATGGTATTCTGATGTACTTATGGGCGGCAGCATGGTGCTGCAGTGGTTCACACTGTCACCTCACAGCTAGAAGGTCCTGGGTTCAGGATGTAACCTGCTTTCAGCTTGAGGCAGCTGGCATAGACTCCAGCCCCCTTTGACCCTACAGGGGATAAAGCGTGTATAGAAAATGGATGGATGGATGATAATAGTTACATGAGTAAGAGTTGAGTGATAAATGTGTTCTCATGAGCATTGTGGAAACTGTTTGATAGGAATAAAACAGATTCTCTGCCTTTGTGTTCAATGAGGAGTAAACTTGGCCTTCAACACCAACATCACAGCTGGACTATGTGCAGAAAGTTAAAGCGTGCATATTTATTGTAAGTGCTTAAGAGTTTACCTGTAAGAATCTCTTCCAACCAAGGTTTAGAACTACAAAGTGGGTTGCCAATGAAAGAAATAGCATTGTATAAAAAAAGCAAAAGAAAAGTTAGATTTCAGAACCATTTTCCTTCGATTAGGCTGTCTAGCGATATATCAGTTTTTGTGGTACAATTTGCAATACCTACGTCTGGCAAGTTCATTTTGTCTGCTCTTGAATTAGTACTTATTTGTATTAGTACTACTTTGCAACACCTGCTGAATCAGTTTTGAAAGTAAATTTAAAGCAACCTTTTTTTCATTATTTTATTTTGTGACTGAGTATTTCACATTAACAAGTATTTTAATGTTGTGTTTTGTGCATGCATGACTTTCTCTTGCATGGCTTACACTGCACTTTAGCTTCAGCTTCATTATTTATGATACTGTGACTTTTTTCCCCTAAATTTCTATTCCTAAAGACTTGTTCTTTTGTAATGTTCTTGCATATTGTTATTGCGCAGCCTTGAGATCAGTCACTTTGCATTTCACTGCACTGTATGAGCATGTGACCAATAAAAACTCTTGAATCTTGAACCGTGCAACAACATATGGTTTGGAAAATATCACGAGTTGACTTTTGCATTATCATTTTTTTTTTATTATTATTGTCTTTTGTATTCATATGCCAGCTCACCCATAATCAAAGACTGTTTGACCTGCTTGTCCAGATCAGTCAAACTGAATGAATCAGTGGCATGATAAGAAGTAACAGTAAAAATATCTGGCTTTTATCTTTCACAGTTTATGAGTTATGTTCATTCAAACAGCCTTGACTTGCAATGCGCAAAAAAAATGTGCTGAAAGTTGGTTGCCAGGGGAATTTAAAAACAAACAAAAAAAATTATCTCTAGAATTACTGGTTATATTAATCAAAAATTTCACAAATGCTATTTTTAATAAGCATAGTTTAAGATTGAAAAAAAAAAAAAAGTTTCAAGTAAATTCGAGATGGTCGGGCAGAGGGCCTCTGATGATTTGAGATGGAATAACCCACATGCAACATAGATGGCTGTATAGTTGTGCTATTTACATCAAAAGCTAATCACTGCTGTTCAGTGTATCATAGGTCATGTAGGTTGTAAAATATCTAGATAACTAACAGACACAGTGACATGCAAAACTGAATATGCAGACATGCTGTGTTTAATTTTTAGAAGAATTAGACAACTCATTTATCATGGTTTGCAACATGTCACATGTATATATGGCTATTCAAAAGTAAATGAAGATTTTCAGAGGCCCTGGGAAGCCTACATTTTGGAAGCATGAGTTGTGTCTACTGATATAGACATTGATATGCGGCTTGTCTCTGCTTTGGCTCTCCCTCAGGCCTGCTGAGATTGGAGGAACTGGTCCGCCGCTTTCTCATCTCTCGGGAGACGCTGTCAGTGCGGATGCTGGATGACAACCTGGACCCTACGCCACTACTGAAGGAGATCCGTGATGACAAAGTGGCAACCATCATTATCGACGCCAATGCTTCTGTCTCCTATCTCATTCTCAAGAAGGTCATTTCTCAAACATCAAAACAGTCTTTCAGAGCCGCCCACACATGTTCAGGATTTGAAGTTGCTGCTGTAAACAGTACAAACAGTACGACTCAGGGGGATTCAAGTTTTTTTTTTCTTTTGTATAGCCAGTTGGGAAATTCAGGTTACAGTCACAGAGGCCATGCAGCGCTTACCATCTGTAAAATAATGAAGCGACTCTCTCAAAGTTCCACAGGCTACACATTTGTTGTTGTAACAGAATTAACATCTTTTTTTTTTTTTTACCTTCTCTGCCCTCTGGAGCTACACAGGGAACAATGTCTATGCATGTCTGCCAGCAACAATCACTTACACTCTTAGGAAAGTATTTGACAAAAGAACATCTTTTGCTGGGATGCGGTGCAGATGTTACCGAGGCTTGTTCTGATTCATGGTGCGGCCTGTAATGCCGATAGCCAGCGCGGTGAGTCACAGATTGAATGCGTATGGGATGTTTTCACTGGGTACATTGGAGCCGCTGTCCGCCCTCAGCGAAATGTCCTAGTGTTAGCCTGATGATGTAAAACTGTGATTAACGTATGCTTCCTTTCCCTCTCCTTCTCCTCCTTCACATTCTCTTCTATTTCGTTCCCCAACTGTCTCCTTCGCTCTCTCAACAATATCCTCCTTTCCCTCCACCTCTTTTCTACATCTTCCCTTATTTTCTCTTTCCACATTCTATATATCACCTGTCTTTCTTTTTGATTTTCACGTTATTCTGTTTCTCTTTGTCCTACAGGCATCGGAGCTGGGGATGACTTCAGCATTTTATAAGTACATCCTCACCACTATGGTAAGAGAATACCAATTCTTCCCCCCCTTTCTCTCTTTTGTCTTCCTTCTTTTTAACTCGCTTCTCTCTTCTTCTCCTCTTCTGTCCCTTTATGAGCGAGTTGAAGTGGAGAGAATATTTGATAAGGGGGAGGTAGAGAGAGGTGACAGAGGAAAGAAAAGGGGGAGGAGATGAAACATGGGAAGAGTGAAGGAGAGATCTGAGAAATGAGCATACTGTACAAAGATGTAGAAGTGCAGAGGGGGGTGGCAAAAAGAAAGAAAAAGGGGTCTGAGGTGAAGGTGATGACAGATGTGATGTATCCTTTTCCTTTGCCACCCGTCACATTCTCTGCGCTTCCACTGTTTTCATCTCCCTCCTTGATATGTTCTCCTGCCCTGCTAACATTTGAATCAATGAGTCATTTTATGCCGGTGCATATCATTTTTTATTTTTCTCTGCCCTCTGTACGTGACATGCTCTCGTGCTTCAGATGGAGCCACTTAAGTCATTTCCATCACCCTCTTTTTTTTTTTTTCCCTGTATCACTGTTTCCCCCCTCCTTTCCCAGCTGTCTGTGTCCTTTCTTTTCTCCCCTCCATCAGAGATTAGATGTTGTCACTCCCTGTAGCCTCTCGTTTTCTTTATCGCACTCTTCTTTGCACAGTATTTTTCTTACGATGCACAGATTTGATACACTGTCAACATTGTCACTCACTGGAATTTTCTTCTCTGTGTCTCTGCAAACACCCTCCCCACTCCTGCCCCTCTGTAGGATTTCCCCCTACTGAGGCTGGATGACATAGTGGATGAGCAGTCCAATATTGTGGGCTTCTCCATGTTTAACACAACCCACCCCTTCTATTTGGAGTTCATCAGGAGCCTCAACCTCTCTTGGAGGGAGGGCTGTGACCTAACGTACCCCGGCCCTGCGGTCAGTGTCACGTCCACCATTACTCGTGTACGCGCACCATTAGGGCGGACAAAAACAACAAAAAAAAAACCTTTGTTTGCATGCCTCATAACATTAAGCTACTTTATTCCTCACACTGATTCATGGAGCACTTAAAAGGATTCAGCTAGTCTTTTGCTTGTGTTTAATGGGTATTGATGGATCCATGCTTGTTTCCTCCCCACTGGTTAGCTCATACCTCACTTCTTTTCTCCCTCTCCTCTAATTTTCCCTGCCTCCCTCCCACCATCCCTGTTAACCCTTTCATCATCCGTGATTGCGCCTCTTTCCTCATCTACTCCCTTGACTCCTTGCCTTTCTTCTCCGCCTTTCCAACCCACCCGCCCTTTCTGCCTCCCCCCCCATATGTCTCGCGTGTCCCCTCCACCTCCCACAGCTCTCGTCGGCGCTGATGTTTGACGCGGTGCATGTGGTGGTGGGGGCGGTGAGGGAGCTGAACCGCAGTCAGGAAATTGGAGTGAAGCCACTCAGCTGTACCTCACCGCAGATCTGGCAACACGGGACCAGCCTCATGAATTATCTGCGGATGGTAAATACTTCATAAATCTGAATGCATCTTGTGTCATCACCTGCTGACGTGCAAACACCTGTACATGAACACACACACACACATGCATAATAAGAAATGACTTCTACTGTGCACAGTAGCAATATAGTCAAGGATTGAAATTCCAGGAGCAGCCATCAAGAGAGACACTGGTATGAAACTGGTCGAATAAAGAGACTATATATTTTAAAGCAATGTAATAAAATTATTTTGCTTAAGTTTAAGTCTGTACAGGGTTGTTCACTTCCTTTAAAACATTCTACCGGACTCAGGTCAGGACTGGGAGGGGCAACTAAGGCCAAGCTGCCTGCCCTCTCCCTCCCAAATTACACTATTGAGGCAATATATTTAGAAAAGCTTCGTTCTGTATTATTATTAATTAAATTATTCACCGGTAATCATCTTTCTGAATATAATTGTATACCTAATTAAGAGCTGTTGCTTTGCCCATGTTACTATTATTCAATAAAAATTCATTTTGTGCTTAAAGAAATATAGTGTGAATTATTAATTAATTGCTCAATTTTCACAAATTTCTGATGGTAGTAAAAAGTTAAGCGATTGTGTGCATAAGATCATATATGGTTCTTAAAGGTTGTTCTGGTTTAAAGTTGATTATAGAATTTTACACATATCCCTGTGGTTTCCTATCCTAACCTCTAAATTATACCCCAGCAACTACCAAGAGCCAGGCCTCATCAGAGGAAAGCTGCCGTGAACAAACGTGACTGATAGGGTGACCAGACTATGGAGGCTACTTAGTAGAGCTAACCATCAGAGCAAGCGGGGGAGGCGTTTGGATGAAGGCAGTTAGAAGCAAGGCGATTTCCCTCGACTCCAGCTTAAGCTGTTCTGCTGAACCCGTCAGGCCTCAGTCCTACAGGCAGACAGAATCTAACCCTAGTAACAAAGAGCTGGACCAGTTACCCTGTTCAACGGTATACTTGGACGGACCAACAGTCACCAAAACACTAAAACCAACTGCCTGACATGGAGTAGGTCCCCCTTGTGTCACCAAAATAGTGTTACCTGTCGAGTCATGGACATGAGACCTCTGGTGATTTCCTGTGGTGTCTGATCAGTGGATCCTTTGGGTCCTGTAGGTTGTAGGATAGACCTCCGTAGATTGGTCTTGTTCTGGCGCATTACACAGATGTGTGAATTTTGAGGCTGGGTCAACACCTTGTCGGTTTGTTGTGGTGCTCAAGCTGTTGTTGCGATGTGGTGCGGTTTATTGTCACTCTGGGTAGCCACTGACGTTGGGGAGTGCTGCTTCCATAGGAGGGTGCTTGTGGTCTGCAACAGTGTTTAGGTGGGTGGTACATGTCAAAGTAAGACTTCCACTTGAACTCGAAGACACAAGGTTTTGCAGCAGAACATTGCATCACAACAAAATGATCAATGTCTTTCGCTTCATATGATCGATGTAAGTAGGGCTAATTATTTTCATTGTTGGTTGAACTACTTGTTCATTTTAAAATAATCAATTAAATGTCACGCAATCTTGACAAATACCCTTTACTAAACCCTAAGGTGACAATTACAGAAATAATGGACTAGTGATTATTGATCCATTGATGGAATCATTTTTAAGCAGAAGGCCAAATTTTCCTGGTTTTAGCTTCTAAAATTTGAGCATTGCTGCTTTTTTTTTTAAATGTAAACAGCATCTTGGTGTCCTGGAATTTTGGTAGAAATAAAGAAAACACTTAGAACCACCACATTTAGGAAATTGTGACAGAAAAAACTAAAACTTTAATTGAAATGAATAGTCATCGCAACCCTTCACATGACTTGAACTCCTCACATTTGAGAACAAAAAGCAAATGTTTGGCATTTTACTTGAAAAATGGTTTCAAATGATTAGCCATTGATCATCACTGTGGTCGATTCATCTTTCAATAGACTTATTGATAAGTAATGACAGTACAACTACATACTGTATCATCCTTATCTCATGTTGCATGTAACTTGTGTCTCTTGTTGTTCTTTGTCATCTCCCATATCTGGTTGTCTGTTTCTCACATCGACCAACTGTTGTCAAGGCAGCCTGAGTCTCATCTCTCATTGCCTCCGCCCCACCGGCCCAACATCTGTCTTTGTTAGTCAACATCAAGGTGTGCTCCATCTTCAACACTGTGCCATTCATCATAGCTTGCGCTAACTGTGCCAGCACCTGGGCTTTGGAGAGGCAACACTGAGCTGTGTGGTGCAGGTCTGAGTTTTATTGGAGAGCTATGACTGTCTCTACTGATCTATTTGAGCTTCTTGATCAATCAGTTTCTCCTCGTTGATCCATAACTGGTCATCTTTCTCTGTCTTGCGCTGTCTTTCTCTTTGGTCTTTCACCCTCTCTCTCCTCCTAATCACTGCTCATATCTGTCTAATCTTGATGAATAGTGAAAAGAAAGATGTTCGGTTTTATACAGAATACCAACTTTATTAATTTCTCCATTCCTTTTCATTGTTTCTCCTCATCTTCTCCTATGTTCCATGCCTGTCATGCTTCATCACCTCACTTTCTCCCTATGTCTGCCAGGTGGAGTACGATGGTCTGACAGGGCGAGTGGAGTTCAACAGCAAAGGTCAGAGGACCAACTACACCCTGCGGATCCTGGAGAAACACAGAGGAGGCCACAAAGAGGTCAGGAATCACCTGTTACCATGCAGCAGCCAGGTCACATTGCCCTTAGGCTTTGGATTAGTTACAGGTCACCCATCTGATTTCACAAAGCCAGAGGAGGCGTTTAACACTGAGGTCAGCCTCATAACAGACCCTCCTGGTGGTCGCCAAACCGTTACTTTGTGAAGTTGTGTTTCACCTGGAAGCACTTTGTTGTGCTGTAACCTGCTGTTAGACCAGGTTTCAGCTCCCAGTAGCATTTGTTTTACATGGAAGTTACCAGAATATATTAGGTGCTTCTTTAGTCTTCAGTTTCTTTTCAAATAATCGCATGACATTGTAACAGGTGTAGCAAGTCCACATTATGTTTCTATTACTATAAACACATTCATTGCTTTTGTTTGACTGTTCATACCCCAGTTTTTTTTCCCCTTGCTTATAAATTTTCTTTCTCAGCCACTGCTGGACGTTGATCTAATATTTTCTGATCTAAAAACAGAAAAATGGTAGTCCTTTAATGATTGGTTTATTTCCTTCCCTTGGCTACAAACAATAATTTGACATTCATTTGTGCAAATCAGTGTTTGTTGTTTCTCTTAAGTTCAGTACAGAGTATATGTGCAGATAGATGCACATCTCTGCTTGTACTATATGTAATAAATTGCATTTTAATGGGGTATTTGTGGAGTTTATTTTTGTTTCTGTTTTGTACTGAACTAGATTTGCTTGAGGCTTAGCTTTGATCTGTGTTGGTTTTGGTCTCCTGTGGACTGTGGGCTGGATCAGGTCTTGCTTTGTATACATACTTCACAATAGTGTTCATGACTGCAGTGTTGTTTCACAGAACCTCTTGCACCCATATTTTTTTCACAACTTGTACATCAGGGATCTAAGGAGTAGCCAAAGTCGAACAACCAGTTGGATTTTTGGGTAGATTTGAATTGATGTTGTTACTCATTGTCTTTCTGAGGAACTGTACCTTTAATATGAACGTGTTGTGTTGTTTTACAAAATGTTATACAAATGTGGGATTATTTTTATGTTGATAATTATACCTAAGATTAAAAAAAAAAAAAACTCCCAAGTGTATTCTTAAAGTAGGCTTATGTAACTCTTGTAGAGCTACTGTAGCCACAATTAGAAAAAATCAATATTCAGTATCTTAAGTTGTATGACAATATAATGGCAAAACAACAAAATCTAACATTATCCACAATAAACTAAATATCAGACGAAGTAAAATCACTGCAGCAAAACCGCTGAGTGTACCGAACTGAGCAAGAGTACGTTATATTGCCTGATTTTATGAGGAGTGATTTGTGATTTCGTCATACAAGAATTTATTTGTGTTGCTTTTTATTTCTTTAAAAATTCCTCTCCTTTCATTTTCTCAGACCAAATCTTTCCAATTAGTCTGGCTGATCGTTTGATCCAATGTTTTCAAGTCACGACTAATTATTTACGTGTAGTTGGACAACATGTGAAACCCCAGTAAGGTGTTCAGGGAGATAAATAATTAAGCATAAGTACACACACCACTGCAGATCAAGACTGTTCATTGACTAGAGGAAACACTTTCTCTTCGCCTCCTCTTAATGTCTTTCTGAGCTCTATTCTTGGCCATCTGTCTCCCATGTTAACACAAAATGCCACCTAATAAATATACTTAAAGCCAGACTTTAACTTAGTTGAGAGTTATGTTGTGGTAATTAACATTTTAACTCTGCCCACCTCTTTGCACGGTGACACCCACACTGTAGGCAGGCTGTGGCGGCTCATAGAAAAAAGAGCAGCCTTAAATGTCAGGACGGGATAAAGAGTGTCATAGAAAAGCTGTGACTCTGTCATTACCTCTCCTCTGACCTACTGAAAGATGTACGGTTATATCTCTCAAAGAAATGCCTCCGTGAGCAGCTGTGCCACCCTGCACTATGGTTAGGTCATTATCACACACTTAGGCACCTAAGTGACTTTACTGTCTTCATAAACTGGAAATATGTGAACAGTTTTTTATGCAATTTAAGAAAGGTGGGAGAAAAGGGGAGTAAAATGCTAAAATGCATGGCAATGGCACTCCTGATTATGAATGCTTTTCATTACAGTTTTTGCCATTTTGTCCCAGCTCATTGCTCTGCTTGTAAACAGCATTTTTTTTTTTTTTTTTTTTTACGATGGCGCATAGTACAACAAGTACGAGGCTCCGGTGGGAACAATTAAATCATAATGCATGTGCAGTAATTAACAACACGGATACCGCGGCAGAGCATGAAATATTAAACATGTAAACGTATTTTGCACTGTAAAATAGACCAATATGATTAATGCACTTACTGAAATACTTACTACAGACGACATGTTGCCTGCCACAACAGTTGCAGTGAAGCTTAAGTGTGCACTGTTTATCCCACAATAGTCACTGATTTTCTCTCGCTTTCTCTTCTCTGTTAGATCGGAATCTGGTACTCCAACAACACCTTGGCAATGAACTCCACCAGTCTGGATTTTAATGTGTCAGAGACGCTGGCAAACAAGACCCTCATTGTCACCACCATATTGGTAAGGTCACAGTTACCCTCTAAATGTCCACACAGGCGAGTTCAGACTTGTTTTTGTGTTGCTGCGCAGGCTTTTGCTGGAGCTCATGCTGTGTTGTGGTCTGTTTCTGCTACAGTAATTTTGCTGTTGCTGTAACTGTCAAAGAAACTGACAGAGCACTGAGAAAGATGTGCTGCTAAAATCAGACTGCCAAAATTCTAATAATGTCAAAACCCCAGAGGTTGTCTCCCTCTGGTTCTCGTATGAGCAGTGTCATAACAGAAAATCAGTAAATCTTTTTACAGTAGTTATTCCAAACCAGAGGTAAAAGTACCCCAGGGGGTACATCTGCAGTAACCAGGGGTACATAGAATGATTAGCTCAGCTCATCTGAAAATTACAATTGAAATAAAGGATTTAGTTTTATCATATTTTGTCTGAATTTTATGTGGTTTTTAGATGTAGATTTTTTTAGTATTTTCAGCCAAAACACCTTACCTGGGAGATCATTTTAATGGTACAATATTTCCAGAAATATAACTCTGAAAGTAATGAATTTTGGTGAGGACACAGACAAAACTGAGGGGCCAGCTATAATTTTCGGAAGGAAAGATGGATGCATCTCTATTTATACACTCCAAAACCACACTGATTTGAACATTCCTTCCCTTTCTTTCCATTTTCAAGGCCCAGTAGTTAAATATTTATAATATACTACTATGTTGGATATCCTAAAGGAATAGTTTGGTGTGTTGGGAAATTTGCCGACTTGCGTTGTTATGAAGAATTAGATGAGGAGATCAATACCACTCATGTCTGTACAGGGAATGTGAAGCTAAAATTTTAGCATAGCGTAACACAAACATTGCACTGTATGCATTAAAACAAACAAGAGACAACATCATTACAGGTGACATTTAGAGACACTGGAGGAAGATTTTATGGAACTTGGCAGCAGTTCATCTTGTTTCCAGCCTTTTTCTAGACTAACATAATTATCTTATGGTTCTGGCTTCATTTTTATTAAACCGATATGAAATCTCTTCTCATGTTCATCATTGCTCAGACTGTATACTTTGGATTGAGGCTCCTCATATTCTCCTTGTGTTTAGGAGAACCCATACGTGATGCGTAAAGACAACTACCAAGACTTCCAGGGCAACGACCAGTACGAGGGCTTCTGCGTTGACATGCTGAGGGAGCTTGCAGACATCTTGAAATTCTCCTTCAGGATCAAACTGGTGGACGATGGGCTCTACGGGGCTCCGGAGTCCAACGGCTCATGGACTGGCATGGTTGGAGAGCTAATCAACAGGGTAGGTGCTCTCCCTCTCGCTGTTTCTCTCAGCCTCACACACACCAGAAACATGCACAAATGTTACACGAGAAACTCACACCCAGCACATAACTATGTACGCACACAACCACCTACATACGCTGTAGCCCCAAACCACAACTCTGCTGTAACTTCCTATGTCTCAAATTGCCCTCAGAGGGGAGTAAGACTCTTATCTAGGACAAAAGCTGACTCGATAATTCCCCAAAAGAGAGTGGTAGCATTGCCTAAAATTGTCTGCACCATCTTTCCTCGCAGTAACGTGCCTCCCATCCCACCCTGCCTCCCCCTCTTCTTCCCTGTGTCCACGCCTTGTGTGCCTCTGACAGACACTCTGGTTGAAGCAGGCTAATGAGAGCCCCTCTCTGCTTAATTACCATACGGTATACTTCAATTATCAGACTGTGGTCCCTGTGTGGGGGCTGCCACACTTGTGCTCCCCCAGCTCTCCATGCTTCCTCTCCCTCCATGCCCTCCCTAATGCCTGATCACTCAGCTCTAATTAGCAGCCCATGTTCATCAATTAGCTTTTAATGGAAGAGATGGAGAGGAGGCAGAGCGACCAGAGACCTGCAAGGTTTTATACAGGTGGAAAGACCAGTCACCCAATGCTTGCTTGCAATTAGCCTCATTTAGACGCTGGGTAGTGTGTGTGTGTGTGAGAAACAGTGCACGGCTGTATGTTTTTGCAAATGTATTTTCGAGTGCATGCTCAAAGTTTTCAAGATTTTTTAATCAGGGAAATCAACATTTTATACAAACAAAAGTTGTCTTTCTGTTTTTGCACAGCTACCTGACCACTTGTCGTCTCCCCCACTCTCCTTCACTACCCCCCTCTCTCTCTCTTGTTCACCCCCTCTACTGTCCATCCACCTATCTATCCTTGTCAATCCTCCAGAAAGCAGACCTGGCCGTGGCAGGCTTCACCATCACATCAGAAAGAGAGAAAGTTATTGACTTCTCTAAGCCGTTCATGACCCTGGGGATCAGCATCTTGTACAGAGTTCAACTGGTGAGGGTGTTATCTGGGACTGTAGTGGACCCGCTAGGTGATACTCACGACAGATCTTGTACTGGATTTCATTTCTTTTGCCTGCACTGATTTGAAGCCAACAGTGTCACGCAGAAGACAGCAACCTTCACCTGCTAAGATAAATCTTAAGGAATCTGACCGCCTATTGTATAAGACTTGATCTCATCTTTGAAGCTGATGTTTGTATTTGTGTTTCATGCTGGATGTTGCAACCATTACTTATATTTCTTCATATGTCAGTGCTCTGCAACTGCAGGTTTACATTTCTAACAAAGCTTTGAGTCTAAGCCAAGTATGTTTTGGCAGGAGGAATTGTGAAAAAGAGTGTTTATGGATTGGAACATTATTATAAAAGCACTGCAGGCGTGGTATCAAAGTGCAGTGTCAGACACTGCCCTCCTGTGGTGCAAATGGGACATACCCTTACAACTGAGACACTGAACCTTTTTTCTCCAAACACGCTGTACCTTCCTGTCTGTCCAGCAGTCACCATCTGTCGTTGCTTCCCCAACTCTGTACTTCTTCTTTTCTTCTTTTTTTCTTTGTGCCAGGGTCGGAAGCCAGGTTACTTCTCCTTCCTAGATCCCTTCTCTCCAGCTGTCTGGCTCTTCATGTTGCTCGCCTACCTGGCTGTCAGCTGTGTGCTCTTCCTGGCTGCAAGGTCACTACATTACATCACACATTGCACTGATAGTCTGCAGCTCTCATCTGAGCTCTGTCGCCGTTTATCTTGTTGAACACGAGTAACCTGTCACATAATGAAATCTTTTACCTTATACAACCGCCCTGCAGACGGTCAAATGGCTGATAGGCGATGACTTGAATGACATGACGGAGTGTATAACTGTACTGCAGTCTGTCCCTAAGATTGTTTTGCTGTGCTTGTGTTACCCCACCAGGTTAAGCCCCTATGAGTGGTACAACCCTCACCCATGTCTGCGAGAGCGCAGAGACATGCTGGAGAACCAGTACACCCTGGGAAATAGCCTGTGGTTTCCTGTTGGAGGCTTCATGCAACAGGGATCAGAGATAATGCCCAGAGCCTTGTCCACCAGATGTGTTAGTGGGGTGTGGTAAGTTAAGGCAAATTCATGCTTTCCACGTCTGTAGTGCACCTATTGTCCCACTGTTGATATTACAAAAGGCAGCGGCAATCTGCTATGCAGCTTGTTGCATTTCCCCTTTAAGTCACAGAAAAACACACAAGGCAATACCAGCTGGTTGCAGATAACCCTGTAGCACCATATCAGATATTGTTCCTGAGGTGTGCCAAGCATAGTGTGAGAACATTGCACATGATTTCTTTAGAAATGAGAACTTCCTACTGTGTTTAGGCTTTGTTGATGGAAAATATGCTCAAATCAAAGCTCCTCCAAAGTCCAGGAGCAACGACTTCCCTTACAACTCATTTAATTTTGAATTATAAAGAAGTGGATGACTGGGACAGTCTCTTCTCATAAGAAACATTTGCTTTAAGCAGCACATTTTTTTCCTTGCACATGTGCAGTAAGTTTCGTTTCTGTGCTTGTGCCAAACAACTTCCCTCCACTCATATATTGTGCATCCATTGTTTTTCACCTGGTTGTTTGATTTTCACTGTGTAGAAAGATGTTTGGTAATAAAAGGCTGTGTTCACATTCATTTGCTTTTTTATTGTGCTCATCGAAAATATGAGTTTAAGACATGCATCTACAAGCAGGGTTTTTGACACCGCTGAATCTGAAAATCATATAAGGTGAAAGAGCTACTATACTTTTTGGAAGTTTTTACTATTTTGTTGATTTTTCTTTTTTGATTAAGCAAATCAGACATAGAGTATTAATTAAAACTGTTTATTTTTATGTCATACAACATTGCTAGAGAAGGTCTTTATACCATCAAGCTCTCACACATGATTTAAATGATGCTAGATGCTGTTCTAAATATAGTTTATATGTTGCCATAATAATAATTAGAATTGCATTTGTATGGCAGGGAGGCTAAACAGAAGCACAAAATAAAGAATGGTAGTAACAGCAAAGATGAAAGGTCAATACAATAGCAATGAAACTGCAATAAATACTTGTCTTCATGTATGTAATTTAAAGCATACTCACTAGCTTCTTCTTTTTTTTAAAACTACTTCCTGCATCTTTATTTGCATGCCTGCTTTTTTCCTCTTCTTTCTTTCTTTCTTTTTTCTTTTTTAGCACATTTATTATGTGAGATAGTATCATTTATACTGTACATTTTAGGCATACAGCCAATATCAGATTCACAACTTAATCCCAGAGCAGCAACATTTTTTGAAAACACTGAAAAACTGTTAACCCGACAGAAACGCTAGCCTGATAATGCTTCTGCGTAACTCTGGGAGAGGAACTCGCTGCAAAAGAAATAATAATCGCTAAGAGCTAAGGAGATACAGAGTGGGGGAAGACAGGAACAGGAAATTACATTGAGTTGAGCAAGATAGGGGCTGTTAATGAGTATAGCGAGTACACGATGTTCGTCTTGAATTAAGTTTACAGACACGCAGGAGTAGTGAGAGTCCCATCTGCAAGGTTATAGGTGTGGTGTATATATGATGGCGTGACAACGGTAACACTGCACTTGAGAATTTAAGGGGTAATGCTTTGTTGTTTATATGTCACTCTTTGCAAATAGGGCTACTTTATGGAAATATTGCATTTTACATGATTTTCAATGTGGAACAATATGTTGATTTGAAGTATTTCCTAACTCAAAATATAGATTTGTTGTTTATTTAAAAAAGTGTTATTACTGTTTTTCATACCACATGTCATAGCATAGTATGAATTTTGTGGTCAGAGGGATTTTTGTCTATATCGCCAACCCTAATTTCCTTGATCGCTTGATTTTTCTTTTCCCTTATTTCCTCCTCATAGGTGGGCGTTCACCCTGATCATCATCTCCTCCTACACGGCCAACCTGGCAGCCTTCCTGACCGTCCAGAGGATGGAGGTTCCCATCGAGTCTCCGGATGACTTGGCTGACCAGACCAACATTGAATACGGCACCATCCACGGAGGGAGCACCATGACCTTCTTCATGGTATGGCCCACCGCAGCGGCTGCAGCTCTGGTTGTCTTTGTGTTTGGGATTTGGGAATAATTCCGTGTGTTTTATCCGTGTGATCATGCTGAATCGTTCTTTGTGTTCCCGATTTCCTGAATCGCCAATTCAGGAAATAGCTATTCAGAATGTTACTGTGTTTGTAGCATATATCACTTAGTGCAGTGTTTCTGACTCCACTGCTCTGAATGTAAATGTAAATTGTTGTCCTCATATTTGCCGAGTTTCTCTGTTGTTTTCTTCATTGCTGTTTGTGTTAAGTGGCTTGACGGCCTGTGTTTGCTTATGAGAACGCTTCCGGCATCTGTGCTAGCATCTGTGTTTGTCATAGTGTGTGTGTGCATTTTGTCTTTGTGCGTAGGTGTGTATTAGCATGTGGGAGTGTGTGTGTAGCTGACTGTTTAAAATGAATTTGTTTATTTGTGTGCATCCACGGGAAATGGCTACATGCCAAGTTGTGAGTGTATGTTTCATCCTCTAGTGTTTGTCCATACTGAGGATATAAGAAAGAGTGCTCTGTTTGCCTACATAAGCCACTTTCCTTGCTATAGTACATTACCCTGCTCAATGCCTAATCCACACACAGACAGCAGAACACACTCAGAACACACCCACATTATTACACACAGACGCTACCCTCGCTTATTTTTTTTTCCTGTTTTCTCACACACACAGAGATACAACATGTAATTGTACACTTTAAACACTTAATCCTGTTTTGGAGCTTGCCATATTTTGTTAAGTGCTAAACCACCTCCTGTGTGCTGATTTACCTCCATCTGTATAAATGATGATGCATCAGCTACACTATGAGCAAATAATCTGATATCTTGGTTCACCTTGCTTCTTTTTTTTTTTTCTCGCTCTCCTCTCCTCCTGCGTTCCCCCTTTGTTTGCGCTCGGTGTTTTCCTCTGCTTGTTATTGTTCACAGTAGATTTTCAGTTTCATGTGTACTTCCCTTCTTGTTAATCCAGAAAGCATGTATTTTTGCTTTGTGGTTCCCTATGTCCTTTGTTCCTTTTTCATCTTTTCATTCTCATTCAAAGAGAGACGTAGCACATGTTGGGAAGGTCATCCACTCACCTGTAGTCACTTCTGAATTCTCATTATTGTGTTCCCATTGCTATGCAGAACTCTCGGTACCAGACGTACCAGCGGATGTGGAACTACATGAACTCCAAGCAGCCCAGTGTGTTTGTGAAAAGCACAGAGGAGGGCATCGCCCGCGTACTCAACTCCAAGTATGCCTTCCTGATGGAGAGTACTATGAACGAGTACCATCGAGGCCTCAACTGTAATCTCACAAAGATAGGAGGCCTGCTGGACACCAAGGGCTACGGCATTGGCATGCCACTGGGTAATAATGCTGAGTGATTTTTCAAAAGCAAACATTTCAAAGCTCAACTACTAATGTAACAACTACCATGCTAGAACTTAATGTAAAACAATGGCGATTTGATCTACTTGTAGGAGGAAATTACATCACAAAAATGATGTCAACTGAGATTCATTAGTTCAATACAGTCATTTAAATTCTCGTCATCACCTGAACATGTTACATTCCCAATGAAGCAAGAATGAGTCACAGTAATGACTCCATTGACTATAGAAATATTGTGTATCATCACATTTGCTGAGTTACCTTGATTTTTATTACCTGTTGAGTTGCCATTGTGCCTTCAAGGCTGAACAATGATGGACTGGTAGGAACAGCTTCTTGAATTTCTGTGCTAGGCCTGGATTGGCCGTCATAAACACCACAGTCAAGCATAAGGTGGCTCATAAATGTCCTTTGGTTCAGGCTACCTTAAGCCAAAGGTCGAAGATTGACCTTGTTGTTAGATCATCAGACCTGTGACTGTATATCTGGGACACTCAAGTAGAGATCATATAGTAGAATTGACTGATTTCATTTCCTACATTGGCAGGGCTCCAGACCAACCTTTTCACTGGTAGCACTGGAGGACAGCCATATGCAGGCTGTGACGACTTAAATGCCATGTCGCACATTGTGAAATTAGGAAGTTGCTTTGTTGCAAATCCTTTAGAGACACATTGTAAACACCTCTAAGGACACAAAAGACAACAGAAATGGCTGTAAGTCATAGGCTGTGACCATCCAGCAGCGAGATGGTCTCATAAGAGTCTCTAAGACTGATAGGTGTCTCCTGATGCTTTTGGAGCAGTTAGCAACAGGTGGAGGGGAAATTTCATTGGTTATGTCCACACACAGACCAAATTCTGAGCAACAGAAAATCAAGAATTTGCAACTTTCCAAATATTATTGCTGTCTGCAATGATGGAAGTGCAAAAACCTTGTTTATTGATGGTGTCATGATGTTGTTGCTCTTTTTGGAACAGACATTATATAAGGAGTTGTTTTTTTTGCCAAGTTTTTTCAAGTTCTTCACATTCAAAATGATTCTGGCTGATTAAACCGCTACTCAGGATTCAGATTCAATACACACTTCTTCGCTTATTTGGTGCGACCAAATGAGAAAGTTGGTTGCACCTCCCACCTGGTCACAGACAAAACATATGACATGCTGAACGTTTTTTTATCGTTAGACACTACAGTGTTCCCTAAACGCCCCACATTGCAGGCTGCGGTGTGCTCAGACAGGTGTGCGACCAAAAATGACTTTAAAAATAATAAACTAGGGCGTTCTAATGTCAGATTTGTCTGCGATGAAAGTGAGTGATATTTTTTCTACATGCTGTGTTTTCTATAAGCGGAAAAACCAGCAAATGTAGGTGTGCTCTGTTTTTCATGAGAGGACGGCATTTCTCAGCTTAAATACTGCAGTTCACCAAAGTTATAAAAGTACTACTTTGCACCACTGTGGTCCACACAGCAGCTTCCTGTGACGGTTACAGCGACACTAATACAGCCCAATGATCCTCATGCACTCGCACCAATGCCACCACTTGAAATTTTAACTCGCACACTCTCTAAAAACTTCTGTCACAGTCTGGAACCCTGATTGGTAGTCATCCTACAGTCCTTTAGGTCTTGCAACCCCTTGTTGGAGGCCTGGCCACTAGATTGGGATCCACTGTGTTGAAGGCTTTAGTTTGCAACGAGGTGCAACGATTAGTTGATTAGTTGTCAACTATTAAATTACTCGCCAACTATTTTGATTATCAATTCAATGTTAAGTCATTTTTTTTAAAGGAAAATAGGTTTAAAAAATCCTCTGGTTACATCTTCTTAAATGTGCATATTTTCTGATTTCTTTATATGTTTAAGTTGTTGACAAAACCAGACGTTTAAATATCATTGTGGATTATTGATACACTGATTTCTCCTCTTTGTCTGACAGCGAAGGACCAAACAGCTAATCAATAAATCCAGATTGTCAAATTTATCAACAATGAAAATAAACGTTAGCCCCACTTTGCTTGCAGTTCTTAAGCTTTACTGTCACAACCTGCCAACACTGGGCTGTGAACACCAGAAACATATATACAGCAACACATCTGGCTTACACACTGATCTTTTGTTATTGAACGAGTGCAAAACAATGGCATGGTGTGAACAAGAATTCCAAATTGAGAGCATGAATTTTTATTCCCTAAAAATGTGATGAACATGAAAGATGATTTTAGTGCACTACTACCAGGTATGCAGATATATTGTCACTGGCCTATTATGTATTTAATTTAAACAGCAACAAATGCTGCTCTTACAGGACTTTTTATGTAACCTTTATGCTCCAGACTGAATCTTAAAATAGGTACGGTCATTAGTTTGTTTAGAGTGAAGTTCGTCACCTCTTGTGACCTCTTTGAAGACTACAGGGGGCATGAGGTCAACCAGAGTGCTGAACCTTAACGGTTTACAAAGTTGTGGCATGAAAGTGGCGTATTATAACCGAGCAGGGCCGACAGAACGTAGAATGTTAAAACATGATGTTGAATCTGAAACTGGCAGAAGAAGCAGAAACAACTGCATTGGATCAATTATGAAAGAGATTAGATCTGAAAATGCCTTTGCTCATTTTTATTTTTTTTTTTATCTATCTTTTACCTGTGAGGTTAGTATTTCACCTGCAAGTAATGAACATGTAGATAAATGCTTTTTCAAACACGCCCAGCTTGTAGTGAAGCTCTAGTTTTCTCATGCACATCAAGGAGAGTCACAGAATCACTGCAAAGAGTTTAGTCATGGTTAGACTTTGCGTTATCGACCAAATGTGTGAAGGAATGGAGAGATACAATAGGAGCTACTGTACATTAGAGAGCAGACAGAAGGAGCAACAGACAACTGGGACAAAAGAAATCTTGGGAGATCATTCGAAGAGACATTAATAGATTGTAAAAATACTGTCCAAGAGAAAAAAAAACATGTTTTCTTACTACCTCTGGGTATATTTCAGTCCGTAGGTTAGTTAATTAGTCATTAGGGAAGTGCACTTGATTGCCTTGTTTCTGAGAGTTAGATGATGACTAATATGAAGCTACAGCCCAGAGATTAGCTGAGTTTATCCTAAAGACACATGCAAACTGGAAATGGGATGCTCGTCTTTCCTTAAGGTGGAATTACACAGGATCTTAAATGGAGGTATGTACAGCAAAAGGTTCCTGAAGAAGACCAAACTTCAGCAGGAATTAATTGGCTCTTCGTGACACCGTGGTTTACTGTTGTTGCATTTCAGTTCAGTTTTTGAGGTGTGTTTGAAATATTGAGTTTTAGAGGTCGTGCATTTTCTTTTAAATGAGCCAAGGAAGCCGTTTCCTCCTGTTTTAAATTTGATGAAGCCGTTGTTCATGCTTATGCGTCTATTCAGAATCTTTTCATAGGCCTGAAGCTCATTCATGCATTTATTCAATACTGTAAATGATCCACAACACTTTTCATACAGGCTGTTTTCTCGTAGACAGCTTCTCTAAGCGTAATACGTATATATATGTGCTGTTTGCTGAGCTCGTAACATACTTTCTATGCTGTCTGGCCAGCAGCTGTACCACTCGCTCTGCCTGGTTGTAATCTCACTGTTTATCTCTCACTAATCCTCTTTTTATGCTCACCATAAGATCACTTGGAGCCATCTCAAAGCCGCAACAGCAGTTCTTTCTCTTTCACTTCTTAGCCTTTCTCTCTTATGGTTGCCTCTTTTCATCTTTTTTTTCTTTCCCCCCCTCATCTGAAATAGCTCCTGTCTTGTCTGGACTCTTGTTCTGGTCCTTGTCCACCTTGCTCTTATACTTCTTTCCTGTCATTTGCCAGGATCTCCGTTTAGAGATGAGATCACGCTGGCCATCCTCCAGCTGCAGGAGAATAACAGGCTGGAGATACTGAAGAGGAGGTGGTGGGAGGGAGGCCAATGTCCTAAAGAGGAGGACCACCGTGCCAAGGGTGAGTTGACCGCAGCTGTCTGTGTCCTCTTCCTCCTTTTCTCTAATGTCCCCACAAATAGTCTCCTCCCTCTCTGCTACAGTCCAGCTGATGGCTAATACCGAACTAATGTCCTTGTGAAAGGTGCTTAGCACAATTTACTTTCCCAAATGTCTCCTGGTTGTCTTCGAGGGTGGGTAATGCGAATTTTATTAGAAAGAGTGTGTCTGCACCTTTATGAATAACACAGACGATGAAAATACTTCTTCGTTTGTGCCGCTGCTGTCAGATGAGAGTCTCTTTTGAAAACGGTTTGACAACAAAATACTTCATGTCAGACTTTATTTGTATTGTTAATCTTTATCCCCACAGTTTATCCCAAATAGTCTTCATTTGTTGTTGTTGTTTTTCTTTTTAGTGGAAAGAGCTCTCAAAAGCGATGTAATATTGCACTTAAATAAAGTTGCACTTCTAGTAAGAGACACTTTTAAAAAAGAACAGTCAAAACTATAGTTGCAGAGTCTAGATTTCTAGTTTCTAGTGTGGCTCAAGCTTAAAAAACTGAATCCTATATTTTCCATAACAGAGTATGACTCCTCTCTAAGGACAGTTTGTCATGATCGCTGCAGATTGTTTAATAAAAATATTCAAAATCTCCATTAAAAAAAAATGAGATTACAAAAAAAAAGTCACTTGAATAACTGTAAGAAGGAATAGCTGAACATTTTATTAAGAAGAGTTATTTTCTTTTGGAGAGTTAGATGAGATACCAACTCATATATATTCAGCTGATATCTATCTGGAGCCTGGCTAGCTCACTTGAAAGTGTTGTCCTCGGTCACTGCAGAGGACTCTCATCTGTCAAATGAGCTGTAATCAGTGTGTGGCTCAAGCTCGTTTATACCCCCGTGAAGCACAATGACATATGTGACGTATCTTCAGCTGTACAGAGGATTGTGACTCAGAATGGCCGGAATGGCACTCGGCTTGTATTCTGCAAAACGCGTCCAGATATAGTGGGACATCCTGGTATTGTTGGCATACTGCATTTGACATGGTGTGTGCATTGGGACGTACTGCATCTTTTTATGAGATGCTTAATAGTATAGAAGTATGGATACTAGGGCTCACCAAATGAATGGAAACAGGCAACAGGCAGTCTGGTAACGGAGTGTGGCTATCAGCACTTCCACAGTGGACACTACTGCCTTTCATTTTATATCTCTTCTCTTTAATCCATACACAAATGGACATATTAGAACACCAAGTTCTACTTTTTGACTTTTTACAATAACTTTCCCAAGTCACCACTGATGACCTGACTTTAGACGCACTAGCAGGTGCATTTCCTCACATATGATTACAATTTGTAATTTTGTCACCCTGATTGTCTGTACTGTGAATTTTACTACGCTGCTCTATTCTGTTCCCACAACGTGTACATATTGTCTGTCTTTGTTTCTTTTGACTGAGGTTTCTTTTATTTATTTTTCCTTTTAAAGGATTTTTAGGAGATTTTTTATTTTTATTTTTTTATAAACCTTTTCATCATTATCCTAAACAAGTGTCAAACATTAGTGGATGTTGCTGTTGATGTTTGCCCTACAGATTCTAAAGCCTCTTGGGGCAATTTAGTGATTTGTGATGTTGAGTCATGTAAAGAAAACTGACTTACTGTCAGTATGTTCCACGATTTCCACAGACTATGTAGTCTGTGTCAGCCAAAACTGTTTCAACAACTGTTACCATTGTTGATGTATTTTTGTGTGTTCAGTTGTCCTGAAACATATTCATACCCTCCCATTAAAGAAGGAAAAAAATATATCAATGAAAAAGCTGAAAATGACAAAAGTAATAATAAATAAAAATGTAATGAAAATCATGACCTTGCTTTTGAATTGTGGTTCAACAGAAATATTAAAAACAAACAAACAAACAAACAAACAAGCCTGATGGGACCCATAAACTAATATTTTGTTGAACAACCCTTTGAGCCAATCACTGCTATAAAGTGTTTTCTGTAACTCTCAATCAGACTTCTGCACCTGTTGACAGCTATTTTGATTTTGGTCCACTGCTCATCAGCAAAGTGCTCTGATTTGTCCGGGACAGTTTGTTTGTTTTTTTTAAATTGTCATTCTTTTCAACCACAATTCAAAAGCTATATCTTATTTCACTAAATTATAATTTAGAAAATTTTTATTTATTATTACTTTTTTCAGTTTCTAGTTATTTGAGTGACTTTTGTGAATTTTGCCTTCTTTAATAGAAGGGTATAAATAAATTTGAGGACGACTGTGTGTACTTATGTTTGTCTCCTGTGATCCTATCTCAGGTCTGGGCATGGAGAACATTGGGGGCATCTTTGTGGTTCTGATCTGTGGCCTGATCATTGCCGTGTTTGTGGCCATCATGGAATTTGTGTGGTCCACGCGGCGCTCGGCAGAGACCGATGAGGTATGCCCCCATACCTGCCCTCGCCGACCCCACAGACACTCCCCAGTAGGTTCCCATGGCATCCTGCCAGCCCTTTTGATTACGTATTATCTGTGTTTGTGTGTGAGAGTGGGTAGATTTCTTTTTCTGCCTTTGCCTCCATTTGTATATGTTTGTGTGTGCTATAACATTTGAAATTCAGTGTGTTATGTGCATGTGAGATGAGAGGAATGTCGAAGTATGCGGCTCTGAACTGCAGTGTCCAGAAATGATACAAGAAATAGAAAATTTGATTGCATGCTCTGCCTGTTTTGATGTCATTGTGCCCTTTTAGTGTTTGGTGTTTAACAGTATGGCAGTAAGTGTTCGTGAGCTAAACATGATAGTACGGATAAGCAATATTGAGAAATGCCAATATTTGCTTGCATAAAGAAGTAGTGTGATCCTAATTCTCTGGCATTAAATGTCATGATGTATCTTCTTTTACATGCCTCACATGTACGCTGGTATTCTTCGTTTCCATTGTTGGATTACTTCTCACCCATTTCACTGTGCGTCTCCCTCTATCTCTCTCTCAAACACACACACACCTCCTGTCATTCGGCCATCAGTGTCTGTTTTCCAATAACGAGTACTGTTTCTGTTTATGTGAGCACATGACTTTTTAAATCATGATTTCAATGAGAATGTTCGTCTGTAGTGGACATGTCAATGCATTTTGTTTGTCATGTGTGAAAACTACAGTAGTCATGCTGTTGGAATGATGAAAAACATTTCCGTATGTGAAAGTGTGCCTCAGAGTGTGTGTCTGCGAGGGACTGCGCAGTTGCTGTATGAGTGAATGCTTTTGTATATGTGCACTTGAGTTTGCAGGCCTGCCTGTCTGTTCATAGTGCTGTAATGAAGTGCCCATAAACTAAGCAACATTTTGGTGTTCTCTGTGTTTGGATTGTAATAACTCTCTCTGCTCCTTGGATATTCTCCCATCTCTATCCATCTCCACATCCTTCCCATCACCTCTTCATTTCTGTTTTAAAACCATCAATCCATTCGTTAATCTCTGTGCCCTTGCTTCTGCTGCAACCTTTTTTTGTTTACCATGCCTACTGTGTCTGTTCCTTCTGCCTCGTTGCCGCCTCGGTTTATTTTGTTTTTGCTTTTCCTTTTGTTATTTTCCCTCTGCTCACCTATTTATGTACTGCCTTACCACTGTCTTGTTCTGCTGCCTGCCTACTTTGTGTCTGTGGCACCCCCACCCCTACCTCGGCCTCCTTCCCTTTTCCTTCCCTTCTGTCTTTCCTTCTTCCTCCCTCCTTCCTTTTTCCCTCTAGGTGTCTGTCTGTCAGGAGATGATCACAGAGTTCCGAAACGCCGTCTCCTGTAAAAAGAGCTCCCGAATGCGCCGCCGTCGGACCCTGAGCAGCTCAGGAGCCTTGCGCCATCCCACCCGTATTGCTCTGGGGGCTCCTCGGCCCCTGCGCCTTGTCCGGGAGATGCGGCTCAGCAACGGCAAGCTGTATAGTGGAGCTGGCCCCCTGACGGGTGGAGCTGGAAGTGGAGCAGGTGGGACAGCACCGCCGGATCTGGGCCCTGGGCCCCAGAGGATTCTAGACGATCCACTGGGAGCCAACACCACCCCACCTCCACCTGCCCCCACCCCTGTGATGCTGCCTGCTCGCAGCTGCACCCACGTGAGGATCTGCCAGGAGTGCCGAAGGATACAGAACCTGAGATCAGGCAGCAGTATAGGATCAACATCAACAAGAATACCACCTTCATCTGCCCCACTGCCACGGCTACCTCCACCTCCACCCCCGTCCTCGTCCAACACAGACAGTGAGGGCGGAGGGGCGCCCAGCCCAAGGCGGCTAAATCACAGTCCCCCGCCTCATACCCCTCGACCCATTCCACCTTCACAGAGCAGCAACACCACAGACCTACTGGGGGACCAGGACTGAGCCCAGAAGCACTTGAGGGCAGATGAGAGGACCACAAGGAGCCTGTGATGTTAGTGAATGACATTTGTGCTGCTTAGAGAAACGACATTTCCACAGGTGACGTTCATCTCAGAACAAAAAAGTGGGAGATGAGGGAGAGAAGGGGAAGAAAAAGGAATTGAAGTCAACAAGGGAAATGAATGAGGATAACTAACACTTCCTCGTGTTGAGCTTGAGGCCTTTAGCTACAGAACTGGCTATAAGGTGGTCATCAGTTAAGCTTCTGTAATCAGTTGCGATGAACAGCTCAGTTTGGACAAATCTGAGAGGAGATGCACATGACCAGATGATGGTTTCCGTTGGCCTCTTTTTGCCTCCTTACTCCCCTCTCACCTCACCTTTAGACATGTGGGTGCTGGTTTTCTTCCACAGACAGTTCCCTGGAAGATAACTAGCCCTTTAGTAAAATGAAGCCTTGCTGGAGGACATACTGTATATGTATGTGATTTAAAACAGCAACTAAAAGACTTCCAGAGAATAATTTCCTGTTGTTTTTTTCTTTTGTTGTCTTTATTTTGTTACCATTGTCCTAAGTGGGAGTTACAAATACAGACTATGTGTGACAATATGGTGGATTTTAACATACTAAGAAACTTGACAATGGCTAATTGTGTCAAGAGTTTTGTGTCCCTCCCTTTGCCCCATAGCTGCTTTTTGGATGATATCAAGGAGAGTGGATGAAATGACTTTAAAACAACATAATGCAAACAGTAGCAGAGAAAATGGTTGGTCTGTCTTTCTTTACACTGTCTGTTTCTGTGTGTGTGTGTGTGTGAGTGTGTGTGAGTGTGTGCGTGCAAAATTTGTGCTTCATGCAAGTCTGTCTCTAACTGCTCAAATGAGGAAAACGACGTACTTAGCAACAGCACCCTTCTACCAATGTAATCAGAGAGCCACAGAAAAAGGAGAAAGAGCATGAGCAAGAGGTTTTGAAACGTGAAATTAATGTCCCTCGTTATCCCGGGTAATGCTTGCCAAGACTTCACTTCTTTTTCACCTCTGTTCAGACACCATAGATGAGATAGAGAGACTGGACAAGTCAGAGACAGACAAGATAGAGAATAACTGAAAGAGAGGAGATAGAAAGAGCCAGAAAGGGAAAAGGACACTAGTGAATTGGAATGAGAAATCCCTCACTGAACTACTTCCATTATTAGATCTGTCCTGATCTGTTAATTCTGGGCATCTTTTAAGGAGCTTGTTAATGTGCCAGCAGGCTTTAGCGGCGGCTTCTTCCCTTCTCTCTGCTCAGCAGACTGACTTGGGCATCCACAGTCGCGGCTCCTGCCAGAATGATAGACTCAACATAGCCTTGTCAATACTGTCTCAAGCTTTTGATCGCCTAATTACTCCCCTCAGCGGCTGGGGACTCATTTAGGAGAGGGTTGAACACAGGGAGACATGCTGATAAATAGATTTCGAAGAAATACATGTTTTTTATTCTGGCTGAGAAGAGAATCTTTTCTCTTTTAATGATCTTGTTAATGTTGCAACCCTTTAGTTGTATGAACCTCGAGCCAGACGGTCCAGAATCTGCAATATGTAGGAAAGGTTGCTTAAAGGGATAACTGGTGGATTTGTTTGGTTTTGCCACTTTTAGTGAAAATTGTGTGCACTTCACATAATGATTTGCTCCCCACCAAGCCCCTGATACAACACAGCAGACATACCAGCAACAGTGAATAAAAGAGCCACAGTAGGTGCCCAATATTTTCCATGTGACAAGATCCAGCGTCAGTACATTGTGCAATATTGCCATCCAGACTGGTGCTGTGTTGGAAGTTATGTGTGTTTGTATTTGTAGGTCTAACCTAGTAAGATTTCCACCATGACATTTATGGAAAAGTGACCTGGCTGCTCATTCACACATGAAGCCAGCACATTTAGATGCTGTCAGATGAGCAGAAATTGGCTTATATATGCCTACATCTGTCTCAACAAATGTTACAAATATCCAATAAATACATCATTACCTACTGTTTTTTTTCTAAGATGTGCTAGAACTTGCAGTGCCCAGCTGTCTTAGTTTTGCCTTTTTAAAATGTTTTTTGTTGTTGTTTTGGTTAGATTTAATGTTGTGTGTTTATTAGAGGGAATCTTCTTATCCTCCTTTATAAGACACAATCATCTTATTCACCCAAATGCAGTCTAGTGCTCACCTTGCTGCAGTTAAAAATCTCAAATAAAACAGATCAGATTAGTTCTGTATCCGTAGTAAAAACAATGAAATGTAATCCAATGACTTGCATAAAATCACGACAGAAACCCAGCATGTTTGGCGAGCGCAGCATCATTTCTGTTTAGGTTTCTTTCATCAAATACACACATAATTTAATACAGTGCTATAGAAGTAAATGTAGTGTTTTGTCTGCATGACTTTTAATGCAAACATGTTAGTTCCAAAACAATATATGAACTACATCCTTAAAAGACATGCACAAGACCCTCCAATTCACTAACTGACTCTAAAAAGGCATATCGGTAAAAATCAAACAAACAAAAAACTAAATCAGTAAAACAACAGGACTGAACCAGCATGAACAAATGTCACTAATATATGCAGAACTCAGCTTTTACACAAATTGTTATGAAGCTAAAATACAACCCCAAAACTGCAGTGACTCAATCCTATGGGCTAGCCACAAATTATAATAACGCCTGTGAGTCAAACCGCAGGGCGCAATAGTGCAGTTTAATGGAGCAGCAGCAGAGACGAGCAGAGGAATCATGTGCAGACAAAACAATTGCCAATCTGCAATGTAATGCTGAGTACGGGCGGGACATTAAAATAATACACACCAGGACAGACCCGCTAAATGTCAGGCACACCAATGCAACTAATGAAAATGCTTAGTCATAGATTTTCGGTTGCATCTCTGAACAAAATAGTCGCCCTCTTGAGCCCTGATACGAAGTCGTTTAGATCGATGTGCTCAATGAACAGCGACATCCAACATCTGAAAGTTGGCTGATAAAATATTTTCAGTGCAAGATATCAGCAGGTTCCCATCACCCTCTTGACAGTATCTATGGTTTCTTATTGATTGTCTTTCATAGCTTGATTTCCAAACAGCAGAGTCAACCAATGCAACGCTTTAACAGCTGATTCTCAGTTCCATTGTTTCCCTCCTTCCTCGTGGCGTGGCAAACTTTTTTTTTTGCGGTATCAGTTTTCTAATATAACAATGTGCAAACCAGCCTTGTCTACGAAAACCTCAACAGCCTGACCTTTTCTCCAACACATGTGAAGCTTCCAGTTGTTTTAACCTCTGACCGAGGAGCATCACGCTATCATCTCAGATCTTAAAAAGCAGCAGGAGTTGCAACCGGGGCATGATCTCTCACCGGCTTCCCCCTCATCCATATCCAGCAGTAAAACAGAATAAGATAACAAGCAAAACCACCAGTTCACCCCTTTGCAAATCTCTCAGAAATATGCAGGCATTGTTGTTCAAGGTAGCATTGCACTGCTGTATAAAATTATGCAGTTTGCAGTAAAGCGGATATGTCGACACTGTTGTGCTCCGGATAATGATAGCACTGTTTGCACACGTTATGCTGTTTCTCTGAACGACGGCTGGAAGCAGATGCAGGCCTGATTTGATGTTTCTCTTTGTGCGCTTCTGCCTTTGTGTCCAGAATGCTGACGAGGCAACACGAGCCAACCTTTTTCCTCCAGTTGTCACAGTGCAAACAAAAACACGCTCATCCTCAACATCTTCATCTCTGATTCCTCCCTAAACTGTAAACCCACCGGTTGTTTTCAAATTTGTGTTCGGAGTTTGTTTAAGGTCCTTTTCGGTTCTTACAAATTCTCAAAACTTGTTACGTGACAGCACCATATAGCCATGAAGTGGTGATTGACAGCTTTAAACCATCAGCTGACGGCGTTTATGAGTGGACAAGCGAGAGGAGGGTTTAAACCCTACGAAGCCAAATTATTGCTGATGTCAGTCTAAGAGGGAAGGGAGGGTCACAAAACCGATCAAATGGGGTGTTTAAACAGTCACTCCGCAAAACAAACATTTGTCTACTTTTCCGTTATTTTCTTTGGTATTTTTTCATATTTCTATACTAGTGCTAAATGGATTATTAAAACTGATGAATATTATGATTAAATTGTTATTCCTATTGAAGAGCAGGAGGTTCTATAGTGTGGGTGAAGGGAGGGCGATGGGAGGAGTTGGGATGAAAGTGCAATTGCCCTGTTGTTCAAACCTATAGACACACAGACTTCTTTTGGAATAAAAAAATATTCAAACAGTCTCACGGTGACGTGCGTCTTTGCTTTTCAACTGGAAAGTTCACTGCATTTTTTTTCTCCTCGTGTCCGAGTGACAGGATACACTGGTTCGGAAAGTGGATGTTTTACTGACGGCAAGTAAAAATACTGCTCTAACAATGTAAATGGGTAAATGTACTAAAATACATATGCATGAAAATACACCTGTGTGACTGACACACTATACATGACGTTAAACTGATAATATTGAATTTAATATGCAGCATGTTGAAGCTGGTCAAGCTGAAGCCGGGTTTATGAATAATTTCAAGTGTTTTCTAATGCATTGGTTGTGTCAAGCTATTGTTTTTTTTGCTGAAAGTTTTAGGGAGGAAGCTCCACTACAAATGGAGGCCTGAAGTCATTAAGTTCAAGTTTATTGTGATTCTTACATAATTTGGGCGGCTGTGGCTCAGGTGGTACAGCGGGTTGTCCTCCAGTCGCAAGGTTGGCGGTTCAATCCTTGGCTCCTCCACAGTCGAAGTGTCTTTGGGCAACACACTGAACCCAAAGTGGCTCCCAGTGGCACCTTGCAGCTCTGTCTCCATTGGTACATGAATGTGTGTGTGAATGAGAAACACATTGTAAAGCGCTTTGGATATAAGTGCAGACCAGTTTAATCTGAAAAGTTTGATCTATGAATCTACTGACTGTAATTATCAAACAAATGCAGAGAGGTAAAAAGACAGTAAGTATAAACTGACTTGAACTACGAATACTCAAGTAACGTAGTCCCTTCACACTGTCATTTTCTGTGAAGACAAAACTGAAGAAAGCACGGATAAAATGTGAGTAGCAACTTCTTTTTAAAGCATTTTCTTTGTTGTTACAGCACAAACTGTAATTAAAATCAAATTTCACAATTTGCACTTACTTTCAATATAGGATAAAAAAAACCAGCAAATTTATTGAAAATGATCCTTTAAAAGACGTGTACACAGCAAGACCCTAATGTTGTTCTCACATGTTCTGGCAGCACAGAGTCTACCCAGCAGACGGTCTCACCCACAAAATGCACTGAGGAAATGAGAAGCAGCAGGTGACAGGGACTGTTGGTCAGGTACGCACCGTTACGGTAACTTTGCAAACCACAGTTTCACCTTTTTCACTACAATAAAGGATACTTAGACTGCAACACCTGCGCAGGCGACTGTGACATCAATGCTCAGCACAGCAGCGTCAAAACAGATGTTGTACTGGATGTGATAAAACACTGCGCCTCTCACTAACACCTTAGCCAAGTCGTCTCAACCAACACTTACAGGCTGGTAATTGAATGTATCGTATAATATAGGGACAGTTAGCAAGCCTTTAAAACATATGCCCCAAGGACAAAACATAAACACAACCTTTTAATAGTATGACAAAGAACAAGAAAACTCCTGTTCATTAGTTAACATTACATAGTCAGCTGGTTAATAATAAATGATCAACCTTGGGTGCAGCTGAGTTTGCATTCACGGTCCTGCATCACAACATGTAGTTCATGTTTCTTTTAAAAAGCTGCTGTCATTTGAGCGTGTAGGCAAGGTTAGGAAGTGAGCACAAAACTCAAAGATTGCAATCGCTGCAGGCTTCCTTTTAGACTAACAGTGTTATGGCAACTGAGTACAAAATAGATACACCATTAGAGGCAAAACATTGGCAGTTCAGTGATGAAGCCTGATGGGTAACTGCAACCTCCAAACGTTGACTCCAGGCTGGTGGACCCTGTTCTCTCTTCACCAACAATTCATGACTCAATTGTTGTTAAATAAAGGCAAACATACATCAAAAAGTTAAATAGCTACAGATGTCATTGCTTTACTCAGCTGACTTGTATTTGGGTGTGGTGTTTCTGATTTTGATCCTATCTTCTCTGATGGGAGGATGATTAACTGTATATGTTACTCACAACATTACATGATCAGTTTCACTTATTTCAGCCTCAGTGAAAAAAGTCTCTGCTGCTTTGGTAATGTTCTGGCGAGGTCTTTTGGCCGAGATCTGATTTAAACCACACATCCTTTGTATTCACATTTTCAGTATTGTGCTGCAGGGAAAGGGAAGTCAAAAAAACACCAGGAGGCAGACTTTAGTACAAGAATGTGGATCATCTGGCTATAGGGAGCATTTGATGTACTGATGAAGGTCTGAGCTTTTCAACAGGTATCATACACAAATTCCATTTTTGTCACACGCACACATGTGTAAAGACCTTATTTTACAAGTGCACCACTATCAGCACAAATACTCAGCAATCATCCTACATAATATTGCCATCTCTGGCTGATCTGGAGGATAAAACAACTTTTTATCTAATGAACTTTAAATAGAAGTTCACAGTGTTGATAAAACCCCAGTTGTTTATTATTTGCTGTAAGTTCTGACTTGTGCAAGTCTGTCTTTGTGGAGGTGCAAAAAAATCTGATCATTGTGAGAGACGGTACAAACAAGATTTACTTTGTCGCCTTGAACAAAAAGGTTGGTGATTCCTTCAAATGAACCACTGGGAATGATGGAAATGCTGCCAGTGTAAGACCATGCATCTTCCATGTCCGCATCTTTAATTGTCGATGATTTCTCTAGGAGATTCAGGAATATTCACTCTATGTTGACTATGACAAGTAATAATGTTGATTATCTTTCCCTCTGGCTGCAGGAGATCCCACTGAACAGGACCAACAGGAAGTCTTTAGATCCTTGGATGATCTGGCACAGCAGAGTGACATCATGCCAGAGGTATTCAGTCACTTCAGGAGAGACTTTAACTTCTTGTCTTATTATCTATAGCCCACACAGTTTTTGGTGTGTCTTATGTGTTTGCATAAGTTCCTCAAACTTCAAGCATCATGTGAGAGTAGCAGTAGTTTCCTTTTTTTTCCAGTAATGCGTCCAATGCATGCAGAAAGACCTTCTGCTTATGGCAACATGAAAGTCCTGAATAGGGTTAAATAAAGGTTCAGAGAGTCAGAGATGTCTAGACAACAAACCACCAGCTGCATGTAACCTTTGCCACAACATAACATGACTGACAATGTTTTTGTTTTTACACCTGCATGTGACAAAAGCTGATCTTTTAAGAAAAATGAAACCATTTTTTTCTGTTTTCATGTAAACAGTACATTATAGGGAAACTGATCTTTAAAGAAAAAATATTGCATATTTCACAGTAGATTTGTTTGTAACAAGGTTAATAGGAACTTTAAAAAAAAACGTCCATATGTGGTAAAACTTAATCTAATCATTCAGCAACAGGCCAAACTCTCAGCTCGAGGACATATTTGAAATTGAACAAGTCACACAAACATTCTCAGCTATCTTGCTGTCATCAGGGTGGTGCTTCCTTAACCCGCACTTGTGGGAGTTCACTTCCTGGAGCTTTCACAGGACGGTTTTAGTGAATATACACTGTCTGAAGTAAAACAAGAAAGCAAGCATTTCTAGGATTCAGACCCGTGTTCTTTGGGGGCCGGGCTAATGCAAATGGAAAAATCAGCAAAAAACAAAACAAAACAAGACAAAAAAAATCCCAAAACTTTTTTATAATTTGGGTAAAACCTTCAACGTAAATCAACATCATCAATATGCTGTTATTTAGAAAACTTCACCATCTGCAAAACACGGTAATTGTATGGATTTAACATTTAAACAGTTATTGTAGGTTCATGATAACAGCAGCTACAGCAACACTTCTACCACTACCTTATCATGATACATCAAAACTGAATTTATAGAAACACATCCCCTTTTAACAGCAACCTGGCAGCTATAGTACATTATACATGTGCCATAAAGTGTCCCCTTAACATCTCTCTTTTTTTCTTCTGAAGTATTACACCATTTACACATATTCGTGTGCAGCTCAAAGTGTTATCTGCTTTTTTCTTTGTTATAATCTTGATGATTATGACTTACAGCTCTTTTTTAAAAATCAGAAGTCCGGTATCTCAAATTATTAGAATATTTTTTTAAGATCAAAGGAAAAAAAATGTAAGATACAGAATTGCCCAGTTTTTGAAAAGCACATTCCTTTATAGGGCTGCAAGGTGGCTCAGCAGTTAGCACCATCACCTTGTAGCAAGAAGATCCCCAGTTTGCGTCCCAGTTAGGACGCCTGGGATCTTTCTGCGTGGAGTTTGCATGTTCTCCCCGTGCAGCGTGGGTTCTCTCCGGGTTCTCTGGCTTACTCCCACACAGTCCGAAAGCATGTTGGGGTTAATTGGTGATTCTAAATTGTCCGTAGGTGTGAATGTGAGTGTGCTTGGTTGTCTGTCTCTAAGTGTAGCCCTGTGATAGACTGGTGACCTGTCCAGGGTGTCCCCTGCCTTCACCCTGAGTCAGCTGGGATAGACTCCAGCCCCCCACGACCCTACTGAAGATTATAGATATATGGATAGATAATGGATAGATAGATGTTCCTTTTACACACTCAATACTTGGTTGGGCCTCATTTACCAGGAATTACAGCATCAGGGCAGCGTGAAGGTGATCAGCCTGTGCTGAGGTGTTAGTGCAGCCCACATCGTTTAGATGACAACCTTTAGCTCCTCTGTAGTTCTGGGTTAAGTATGTACAACTTCATGTCAGACTTTAAGTACTCTGAGTGAAAAATTTGCAGGTTTTTTTTCTCTACTCATGTGGTATTGATCTGATATGGAATTCTTTCTGTCACGTACATCCCTTTACACAGCATTTATCTTATCTTTCTATTTCCTGTCATGAGAGAACTCATGAGAGAAACCACAGAGCTTGTAAGTGAAAATGGTGTAAGTTTTTTAAGCAACAACTGCAATTAATAAACACAGCTAGTAACAAAATAAATCTATTAAAGCAAATGTGGAGGGTTTACAGCACTCATTTCTGTCTAAACGACTGCATTGTCTCAAAAGCATTTCAGTGATATAATCTAACTTCTCAACTTCTGACTTTCGCACGACACAGCAAAGCAAAGAAAAGTCGACTTTGTTCTCACATGTTCGGAGAGCACAGTCAGTCTAGAAAACATCACATGTCTGTTGGCCTCGGGCTTAGCATCTCACACCCACAAAACACAGTCAGGAAATGCTGAATGATACCCAGCAGGTGACAATGACTGCTGGTACAGTAGTGCTACACACCATTACTGCAACTTTGCAAATCATTTTGTCACCTTTTTTTTTTTTCTTTTTAACCTGAGGCTTCTCAGACTGCATGAGCTGAAGACAGGCTTGTCGATGCAACGATTACTATAACCGGTGGGACTGGACAACATGCAGTGCTGTATGACATGCACTTCTTGTTTTTAATGCTGCTGTAGGAAAGAGCAAAGGGGAAGAAGTCAGAATTTGAATGAATTTACATGCTACAGCCAACGAGGTAATTTCACTGCAGAAATTGTCCAAAATATTTGTCACTTCAAGTCCCTTAATGAGACTGACTTGCCATTCTGGTTTTTGCCAACTTTGGACTGCTAGAAAAATGCACGAATGCAAATTCAAATGATCAGCTCATCATCAAGCTCTGCAGAAGCCTGATAACGATCCTGATCATTTCAATCAGGTGTGTTGGACGAGGGAAACATCTAAAAACATGCAGGACTGTGGCTCTCGAGGACCAGGATTGGACACCCCTGTATTAGATGGTCTCTCAGGTTTTAAAGGACATGACTTTAGAGAGCAACACACACACGCATATGCACCATCGCCCATAAAGTTAGAATAATTCACACACATTCCTCTTTATATTTCTGTTTCTTCACATCAGTAATCACTTTAAACACAATGCAATGATTACATACTGAGTGAGTCCCAGTTGCCCAGGTGAAACAAATTCTAGCTTCAGGATCTGACCAAAGAGTGGGACGTCCTGCCCACTGACACCATCAACAAGCTTGTGGACAGTATGCCACGATGCCTTAACGCATTGATCCATGTCCGGGGTGGCCATAGTCAATATTAGTGACCGAGTGACATTTGAAAGAGTAATATTGGACATTCTAATGCATGAAATCCCCTCAAATATGTGTTTCCTGTTGTATGACCAAGGTTGAAAAATTGAAATTAAATCCCTTAATCCTATTCGTTCAATACCCCCCATTTTGTTTAAGCCTGAATAGACAGTTTGCAAAAGTTAATTGTGGTTTAATTTTTACTGTGATATGTGTTATGTGTATATTGTGATATCAATAAAGTTTTAAAGAATAAGTTTTTAAGAATAAATCGCATTATCACAATCAGTTCATTAGAAGAGGTAAAAAACTATTTTATTCCAACTTTATGAGCAACAATGTGTAATATATATATATGCACACACACACACCATCAACCTCTATGATACATTGGCACACAATTTGATACAGATTTACTAATTGATGCATTGATTTGTTGACTTTTTTCCCCTCTAGCACTCACTGCAGGTTGACTTTTTAATTCTTTATTGGGATATCTAAGTATATGGTTGACTGTGAAATTCAGTAGATGCACAAAACCATAGTCCCTGGACACATCATTGGATTAACTTATCTCGCATCACCATCAGGACAAAACGTTAAAGTGGTTGTGACCAAAAAACTTCAAAACTACAGACATTCCTATTCCTACATTATATTACACTGCTGCATTTTTAGAAAGCTAACAAGCTAAACCAACACTAAAGATGATAAACGTAAACATGCGAGCATTAAGTTGTATTAGCATGAAGACAACATAGTACAGCTCGCATTTAAATAGAGGGGCTGGAGCAGCTACACAGTTTAGATTATATTATGGGATCAGCTGATGAGAATCAGGTCAGATTTTGTTGATTACACTGAGTGATGACACCACAATTACAGTAAAGACAACTTCCACGCAGCAGGATTAAAAATGTTTTTCTTTTTTTTGCACTCAGCAAGTATAAGAAGGAACTTCGTCAGCCGTTCTACAGTACGCAAACATCGTCTCATTAGGCAGCCGACGTGAAATCACCACCTCGGAGTACATGACATCATCAGCATTCACAGCGTCTCTGTGTTTGTGTTTGGGTGAAGGAGCAGCACTTCTGGATGGATTCAGCTTGATGTCAGAGTAGACCACATCCTATGATATAGAGAGTGTAGGTGGTGACTTTTGCATCATCATTACAATCACATCTTTTTCTTTTTTTTTGTCACAGCTGCAAAAAACGTATTAAGAAAAATAACTCAGGAAGTACCTCTGAGCTCACCTCCTCTCTTACAATAACAGAAGGCCTGAACGCATCGATCCCTGGACCGCTCGTATCTGAAAGACACGCCGGCCTCAGTCATTGGAATCGAAACAAACAGCAGAAGGTAAATTATTCAAGTGTTGTTTGGAAATGGAGTGAGGTGAAAGTGGTGCACTTGTTCTCACCAATAAGGACACGATGCCTGCCCGAAGAATTACATCTGAGTGAAAGAATCAAAAGCAGTCTTATTAGTTTTCCTGCATGCATTTAGCTGAATCAGAAAAAAAAAAAAACAGGGCTGCAGCTTTGATTCTAATTAAGGATTAATCTGCTAAAAAAAAATAAATTAAGTCACTAAGCATTTAGAATAGATAGAATAGAATATAGAATATAGCTTTACTGTCATTGTAACACGAAAATCAAGTGCAAACCTGAATCAGTGCAAAAATAAAAGGTACTAAAATGCCATGAACAGACCCAACAGACATCTACATTCAACAGTTATCCCACAATCTCTTAAAGCAAGCTTCACTGTATGTTATGAATGAATTATTTTATAGCAGCACATTTAATGCATTGATGGCTGTGGGGTAAAAACAATTTTTCAGTCTGTTTGTCCTTCTTACTCCTTCTACTTTGTGAAAACTAATGGAAAAGAAGAGTTATACACAGAACTAAGTTTCCCATGGCATCCTAACCCTAACTTTAATGGCGATGCATTGAGGACCTGCTTTACGTCACCAAAAGAGCGGTGGGTCCCCAAAATGTTACTACAACGTGAATACAACACATGCATGAACACAAACTACCTTCTGGTGAACACGATGTAAAGCCCGCCAGCCACGATCATCAACAGCAGCACCACAGCAGTCACGATAGCAGCAACAATCCCTGATGATAACTGCATCTGTTCTGGGAGAAGAAACCTGACTGATTAACCCTTGAGTGTGCTTAATCCCAGAGATTATGTCAAGTTAAGTTCATTATGTTAACACAACCCTGGCTGTTTGATATTAGATGTTAGATTAGGAGCGTTAATCAGGTGCAATAAATGATGACCATGGTGGTTTTGTGGAGAGGCAGTTATGTGACCTCACTGATTTCCTAAGAGCATCAAAATCATGTTATTCTCAACTGACAAGGGAAGTGATTACAGCTGTAATCGTAACCATGATAACATATGGGAGGAACTGTGTATCAGTTCAACAGTTTCTTAAATTAAACTGCATGCAAACAGTAACGCCATGAGTGTGTGGTTCGTGTCGGCCCACGGATCTAAAGCAAGTTTTGAAAACCAGGTTAATATTATTCTAGCAACTGAGTGTATAAAACGCTTTAGTTCCTCACCTCGAACAACAAGTTTGGTGGTTTCTTCAGCTGAACCATATGGGAAGGTGTGTACGCGGCAGGTGTAAGACCCTGCATCTGCCATTTCCACATTCTTAATTATCAGCGAATGCTCGGTAATCTCCACTCTCTCCTTAAGCGGGGATTCAGGAACATCCACTCCATACTGGCTATTTGAAACAGCAATGACGATTTTTTTCCCTTCTGGTGGCAGGAGATCCCACTGAAGCTGAGTAATGTTGATGTCTTTTCGTCCTTTGAACGGGCACGTCAGGGTGACATCACTCTGGAGGTATCCGGTCACTTCAGGCACAGCTTTGACTTTTTGTGCCTCAAAAACTGCCAAACATAAATCATATTGACATGCTGGCAAGAGCAAGGAAAAGAACTCCATATTGCATTCTTAAACTGACTTTGTGTGTTTGGTTGTCTTGGTATATTTTAATTCACCCTTTCCCCTGACACAAGTATGTAAAATAGATATTTTCTGTCATGGAGAAGCAGTGTGCAGAGAACTAGAGTCTAGTATTGCGCAAAGGGGAAGTTTCACAATTAAGTAACAGTTATTTTCAAAATTCAAAATCAAAACCAACTACATAAATCTACGCTAATCAAACTTTCAGAAAACGAGTCTTACCTGGAAGTAATGCAACGTAAATCAGCTTCTGTAGCAGGTGGGTTGATGTGGTGCACATTTTCACTGTGCACAGCTACAGGTGGAGAGCAAAGAAGAAAAAGAAAAAAAAAACAGAAAACTTGACAAATCAAACAACATCTCTGACTTTATATGTCAGCTTCATAGGTAACACAGTAGAGAGGCGGATCTGTGAAGTTCCTGGTTTGCTGGAAAATGACTAAAACCTGCAATGTGACAGCAGGAGAAAAACTATGACGATGTGGACACAGAACGAAAGTCCATATCAGGCCAGCTACAGTGATCACAAATAGATTTCCAACAAACCACTACTTTAAATGATCGAGATGATAGAAATAAAACCAAACTGAGCATATACAGCATTTTGCCTACCACGTGTATTTTCTTTTTTATTATTTAAATGAAGCATTAATTAAATAACTTACCCCTGACAGAGAAGAGTGTAGGTCCATAACTGCGACATGAAGCACCTTCCCATCTCTCAGAGCTTTCAGCAGGATTTAAAGCTGCACCAGAACTCTTCCACTGCGATTGCGATCAGAAGTCTGTCATTTTCACATCAGCACGTCAGTCAGTGTGATTTGCAGTGACGGTTTCTGGCTCATCCTGTCGTTTCTGTAGCAACAGTGGCCTCGTGTGGTCAAACCGTGGTGATGAAAATAGTTTAATGCAGGATCAAGTGTCTGCATCATTGCCAGCAGGTAAAAAAAAACAAAAACAAAAAACCTAATCTTTCTCCAAATCCTGTCAGTAGCAATGTCGTGATGGGATGTAGTGAAAAGCAAAAATAAACAAATAAAAAAATGCAGCATCTAGAGTTCTAAGTTATATAAATCAATATTTGGCTCACAATAAAAATCAGTCCAAGCCAGCCTCATGTTTGCTTGATGATCTTGTTTTAACCAAATAAATTCTGTACATGTGATGCTTAAGATATACAGTCTCTGGAAAAAAAATTACAATACCACCCTTGTTTTCTTCAATTTCTTGTTCATTTTAATGCCTGGTACCACTAAAGGTACATTCCCTGAAGAATACAATGAACTCGACAAAACATCCAGCTGATTACATAATACTTTATGTCCTATTTGACATGCTCAAGCTTAATTGTATTCCCAGGGTGTACAAGAGGTCATTTCATGTCATAAGCAGCACTGCACATGCAAAGGCCTAGGTTTTGTTCTCTTTTGTATGACTAAGAACGTCAAATTAAAAACTCCTGCCAGAGGAG